ATAAAGTTAATCGGCTCTCTTATGCACAAGAAGACATATCCCAATTTCCTAATATTTTATATAACATTTAGTAATCGAAAATGTACATGCAAGTAAAAATGTCATTCAGTTACCTTAATTCTTGAATCAGAGAGATCTAGGCCTTTTAACAAAAAAATAGAATCAGAGAGATCTTCCATTTTTCTTCTTGTCTTATCATCAACTGTAACTAACCCCCGTGTTTAATTTCCAATATGTATTTAAACTATACATACATGAATACACGAAATTATAAACTACAAATTAATAGTAACATCATCAATTTCCAATATCTTATAAATTAGGTAACGTTTTTATTTGTCTTGACTATGGTTTTAAATGTTCAAAACAACATTCGATATGTGATTGTTCTAATGAAGTTATTAATAATAACTTATTAATTATTTTTTAAAGAATTTTGAAAAGAACTGGTATGTGAAAAGAAATATATTTTGGCATTTTCTTTGGTTCCATGGCGATGCCAGGAAAAAAAGGTCAAGTCGTCACACTACCGATTCCAAAGAAAAGTCTCTCGGAAATTGTAACTTGATTGCTACAACGATGTTAAATGAAAGTGATGTCATTATTTTACCTGAGATGTTTTATCCACGTGGAAAATATGCATACAATAATCCGAGAAAGGGAGCCCTTTAATGCACCAGTCATGTTGATGAATTTCATTATCTGGACGATTTTATACGCATGATTATTTCATATTTGGGCCTAATGTTGCATTTGTTTCTTTGCACGATTATTGCTCATGTTCGATGAAATTAAATGTGAAGAGTTATTGTCAAACGATAATAATATGCTCGTAGTAGATTCCTGAGACATTTAAAGCTATTTATTTGATGATTTATCACCAAACTAAATCATTTCAAGTTCCCGATAGTTATAGTGTTTGATGATCAAGAGTGCATTATTTGACATCCTTTAGAAATTTAGTAAGAACGTCTTAAAGAACTGCTCTGATCTGTTCCTAGCCTCAATCTCTTCATATCAAAAAACTTCTCTAACTTGAGGTTTTTTTCTCACTGTCAAAAGGTTCAAGACGTTCCAGGCTTTTCTGGTGTGAGACATTGAATACTGTTTGATGAATCAACATTATTTGGATAAGACCGAGATGATAAAGAATCATTGTTCCCAATCGTGCATCAACTAAATGCATGTACGTAAGTTAACCAGAGTAGTCGTTATAACTAAGACCACATTAAAGCTTTGACATCTAAGCTTTGAAAATTTTAGCGTGTTTGGATGATATGTGAGTTATGGATGAGATCGATATTTTCGTGTGGATGTCATGCTTCCGCAAAAGCAAAGGAGAAAGTTCTAATATTAAAGCTTTAGTATTCTTTCCCTAGCTAAAGTTGTGAACTATGTTAACCAATTAATAACATGTGTTGTGTATATGCAATGACTTAGATAAGCTCCCCGTCTCATTCTAATTATATAAATTTTCTTTAAAAGTTGAAGAATTGGCACATTACAAAGGTTCCACTAATATGGTCAAAAAGATAGTTGGGTGCTTCTTCTTTTTTTTTTTGGTTATGCAATATATATTGAGCCACGAGATTTGCAACACTCTTCATATAACATAGATGGAAACGTAAGGCTTAAGTTTATGTCTCCACTTATGCTCAAGTGGTACGTATGACGTATTTCTCTATGCTTTTAGTTGAAAGCTTGAAACCAATAGCAATCACTGATGGACTATGATTCGAAATTTCACTCTCTTCTTTTTTTTTTTCCTTAACTTTCTTGCGTCATGGTCATGAACAAAGCGAGTGATACGAAGTCAAAATATATTCTGGTTTTAGTTTGATGCTTTTAATTGAGTCTGTCATTAGTCACTTAATTTTCGTAATCTTAATTATATCTAAGAAAGCAGCTTTTGTATGAGGACATGCACACTCACTCACTCAAAAGCATTCTCCCTTCAAGAGGCCAAAGGTTGCGTTTTGTTAATTACTTTCTTCTCTTGTATGGGGGTGGTTCGGATTCTAGGACCACCTATGCTGTTCAAGATTCAATTTCTGTGGATATTTGCCTGGAGATTACGTATGCAGGTCAGCTCCTTTTTCCCACTTTCATTAGTTAAACTATGTCATAACTTTTTTTACTCTTGCTTACGTTAGACATTCCTAATTATTGTTTCGTTCTTTATTCATTCTAAGCATGTCAACTAGTTGCTTAATTATATCATTCTTGATTCCTTCTTCAGAGGGAGACGCACTAGAAAAATGACATAACTTATGGATAACTCTATATTTAATAGCAAATCACTTGGTTGTGAAATTACTGATTTCTGAGTTATATTGCGGAATCTGAAAACTTTCGTGGCTAGATAGATAGATCCACTTCCATAAACCGCATTAACTTCTCAATAAGACTTATATGTTTACATTTGTGCATTTTCGTGGTAATGCAAAGGAAAACAAATCTTGATTTGCATCTTTTAGTGGACTAAGTAATACGTAATCAACCACTGGGAATATATTGTAAGATGCTCCTTGTTATAGAAGCTGACTACTAATGTTTGAAACAATCTTGCAGGAGAAAGAGAATGGTTCTTTTTTCGTTGTATATTATAAAATCGAAGGTATCTTCGTACTATACATAAGTCATAAACTAAGACAAAATGGATGATTAAAGTTGATCATAGTACTATACAGCACACCAGCTAGAGCATTATGCTCCCAGATCATCAGTGGTAGTAGCTAAACATTCTTTATTATAACACAAATGCAAAACTGAAATGCTTTTTCTATTACAGGAAGCCCAGGAAGATCTCACAGATCTCTCCCCCACCCTCTTTGGAATAGGAACAGCTCACGCATTCTAGCTTTTCTTTGTGTAATCTATATGGTAAAGTCAGAGAGAACTAGGTTACATTTGTTTATATATATAGCTATAATTAAAACAACATGCCTTAGAGTTAAGGAAAAGTCAGTGACCCTGACCCTAAGTCATTTGTTTACTATGAAACACACAAAAGTGTCTTTTGTTGTTTAGAAATGGGGTTAAGTGCGTAAGCATCTGATTTAACAGAGAGACAAGAAAGAAAAGTGTTAAGTGGGGAATCTCTTGTTGTTGCTGACGACCTAAATGATGAATCTTCAACTCTGTCTTCATAAGTTGTTCCGTACGGTTTCTTTAGTGTAACATTATATTTTTTTGCGAAAAGTGTTTAGTGTAACATGGCTTCAGAGAAATTTAATCTTAAACTTAGGTTCTGAAAGAAAAAGCAGGTTACTGTTGGCTAGCCAAAAAATTCAAAGGACAAAGTTTGATACTCCAACATTGTCGAGAATTAGAGAGAAGAAAAAAGTTTTGGATCTTGAAACCTAGGTGGCTTTGCCTGGTTTGTCTTTAAAACTTTTTATTACTCATTTAAGTAGAATCAAACCTTGGTTACTTTAATTTGATGTACTGTATTTCTTTCAATAATTATGTTAACATTATAACATAAAACTACATAATCTTCTTTTAGGCAAAAGAAAAACATTATGACATAAAGTTTTTCTTTGATTCTTGGTCATAATAAGTGGGCGGAAATGGGTTTTTCCTTCTCGCATTCAAATTTCAGATACAGTGTAAATTGGGTGAGTGTATTTTTGGCACACTCTATTTGTTTTTTTTTTTCCTGTCGCGGTTTCTTGATACATGATTCTTCAATTTATGACCATTGTTTGCATTGAGACTCTTTTTTTTTTTGTTAATTCCTTGATTAATGCCAATGATCATCTCCTGTTTTTTTGGTTGATGGGATTCACATTTTCAAAACTAGTGGGCTGTAGTTATCATGTTGTACCCTTGTTTAAATTGGGTCTACGAATTACCCGACATAGGTTTTGACTCTCCCTCTCTCTGTGTGCCACACGACTCTTTGCTTTAGGTATAAAAGAGACTCAAACGAGAGTATTAGAGAGAAATATCAAACAATCATTTTCATAATTTTATCACAATTGGGGAAACCAAATTTGGGTACTTTCATAGCTTTTGTTGGATTGGTTAATTTTTTGGAAGGTAAATATGAAAGAAAGAGCAAAGCATGTCTGAAACTTTTTGACATATTACTCCTTTTACGTGTCTCTCTCTAAATGGCCGACTGTTTTTTTCCGTATGCGTTTGATTTTACGTTTTTGTAGATGTTCGATTATAATACAAAATTACAAACGCAACAAAAAAAGAACGATTTTTCTAAGCCTTGAAAAAAAAACGATTTTTCTTTTAAAAAAGTAAACAATAAGAAACACAAACGCTTTCGCAAATATTTATGTTTGAAACAATCGGACTCCTAAGTCACCATATTCACTAAACCAAATAACTTTATTTTTTCATTAGGAATTTCTCATTTTCACTACTATTTTTTTTTTCATTCTTTTTCTAGCTAGTCTCTTTCAGTCCCAGATCACATGAGAGTCGAAACTTCCATGGCTGCTAAATAATTCATTTTTTTTTTGCCAAATTAGTCAAAAACGATGATTAAACAGGTTTCCCTCAAAGACTATGCTTTTCAAAATTGCCCCTTTTGCTATCAATTAAAAGCCAGTTTTTTTTCCATAACAGTACAAAGATTACATATGGAGTTTTTCAGTTTTAACCATGTGCACTATACAATGACTTTTGTTTTCCTTCACCTTTTACACATACACACACACACACATAATATTCTTATCTGCATTGTGTGCCATAATTAAATAAAATAAATTTGCATTATTCAAGTGGTGTGGAAAAGCTCCTTCTTTGTCTTAGTCTCTGCACATTGCATAGTCACTCCTCTTTCTTTTCTTTTCTTTTTTTTCTTTTATTTATTCACTTTTGTGACACTACAAATTGGCATCCTCTCCCTCTCATTATCCTTCATGCTTATTTCCAAAAACCTCTCTGCTTCTTTGTTTCACATCTCACAATAACCTCTTCCTACTCTTTGCTCTCTCTCTCTCTCTCAACAGATTATTAATTTCTATCCTCTTTAAGCTATGGGAACTGTTGTGTATCAACAAGGGTTTCAGTCATCTCAGCTTAATGAGCCTAGAGCTTTAAGGCTTAGGCTATCTTCACCAAATCCTCACTTCTCTCAACCCTTTGGTTTAGCTCTTAAGTCTCATTTCCTTGACTCCTGTAATGAAGAGGACACCCGAAACCGTAACGTTGACAAACCAGCTGCTTCCTCCGGACCTGACTCGAGTGGCTGGAGCTTTCTCCAGTCCCTATCCTCTGGCTCCTCCTCCTCTTCCTCCTCTCTCTCAAAAACGACGAGCTCTGAGAAAGAGAAGACTTATGTTCAACGTCCGTCTTCCTGTAGAACTCTAAGCGACCAGAGCTTAGCATTGTGCACTGAGAATCTTGGAAGCGAAACTGGCTCTGATGCTACTGACGTCGAAGATTTGTTTTCGCTTTCTTTATCTGACGTGCAGACCAAGAAACCCGAGGACACAACAATGGAGACAAGAACGTTAAAAAGTAGGAAAAGGAGTGTGAGCCCTAGTGATCTCCCACCTCCTTTGACCAGTATGAGAGGGTCTCATTGCATTCAAATGAGACCACACCGTGAAGATGGAAGATTGGTCATGACTGCCATAAAGGCACCGCCTCGTAACCAGTGCCTTCAAGCTGACCGAAGCAACGGTCGTCTCCGACTCTCAATCTTGAAAGACAAAGATGAGTTTGTGGAGAACGAAGAAGAGACTATGGAGTCTGAAGAAACCGAAGAATACGAGGAGGAGGAAGAAGACAAAGAAGATGACGTAATGGATATGGAGAATGTTCAAAGATCAAGAAGATGTGTTGATGCCGATCGAGAAAACAGGGGATTGCTAAATTGGGAATCTTTCTGCGTTGCTACTTCCTAAAAGAAGAAACTTCTTAATTTGCTCTGAATTCACAAATTTTTTTTATTGTGTGTTTTGTTTAGTTTTATTTTATTTTTTATTTAATAGACATAACGCCGTTTCCTAACTCGGGAGAAAGTAGATTAGATTAAAGAAAAAAAAAACAACAAGAAATGGGCAGAGGGAATATGCTCGTGGTCGGGTCGGCAGTTAATCTAGTTTGGTAAGAAAAGATTCCTCTCCAAGTTGTCCGAAATTAGTGGCCAACCTCATCTTCGTTAGGAGGACGATTGTACCCAGAACCTTCCTGTAATTGCCAATACATCAAATCAAATTAGTAGGTTGAGTTATCATTCTCTTTATTAAAAAAAAGGTTGAGTTATACGACGATCTGTTACGTTCTTTAAAAAAAAAAGAAAAAAAAAAAGATTGAGCTTTCATTAAATGGTGAGACTAAAATTTATGTATTTGAAATGAAAACACAATGGAAATAAATACATTTTAAAGGAAATTGTTGCTTTAGTGTATGTAAGAAACAACATCACTTATCAAGAGCTGGAATAGCTCAATTGGTTAGAGCGTGTGGCTGTTAACCACAAGAATATACTTTGACATGTTGTTAATAAAATAAAAAGTAGTAGGCCGGTTCGTACAACAACGACGTCATCACAACACCGCACATCTTCGTAAATCACAAGGGTTTGGTGCAGAGCCGTCCCTGGGAGCAAGCAGGGCAAGCAGGTGCTTGCGGCCCTGTTTCTAAATAAGAATTTAATCGGCCATATTTTGACAAAGTCTCCTATAGCTTAGTTGGTTATGTGTTGTTATGTTGGTTTAAGGTGCAGAGTTCGAATCTCCCCTCTTCTTAATATGTTTTTCCTTTTTAAATTCTCTTTAATTTATTACTTCATCGGCCCAAAATTAAATTTAGCTTGCGGCCCATGTAAAGTCAGGGACGACCCTGATTTGGTGTACGGACCACGGATAGACGCGTTTGATTAAAACGATTTTTAATTAATTAGACAAAAAAATATATAGTGGCATATCTCATTTTTATATGAATAATCAGTAGTCAGTTGCATGCATTTAAATTCGTCTCGCAACTCGACTTTCTAAATGCAGCAACTCAATAGTTTATGTTTATTTACACAAGAAAAAATACTCAATAGTTTATGTTCTAGGCTATAACTTGGAAGCCACTATTTTCCGGGGAAAAAAAAGTGACATCCGTTTCATATTTTTATGGAATAAAAACACAAAAAACTGTAATGAACGACACGTGAAACTCCATTGGACTGCTCTTTGAAACCGTTTATTATTATTATTTTGTCTTTTGGTTATTGTTTTTTCTATAAAAAAAAAATATTTGTTAAAGTCTTTTGGGTAGCTATTGTTATAATTAATTATTATTACTGTGAGTGGGCGATTTATTTTTAAAAAGTTCATTTTCACGTTCTTTTTCTTCGAAAGTAGTCTGCATGGAATCCGCGTCTATCCATTTGGGTATTATTGCATGTTGACATTAATTTGGCACAATATTTAAAAGAAAATAACTACGCATATGTGAAGAATCTTTGTTATTGCTAGTCTCTGTATAGAGAGAATTATAATACTCTTTTGTATAATGAGCAATTAATAGAACGAAGTAAATATGAAATAATGAAACAAACGTCATCTTTGCACCAGCATTTACGAGAATGGAGGAGAATGCATTATCGATATCATGACATGAACCCATAGAAATTCTTAAATCGTAAAAAACTCTTTTTATTATTAATCAGAAATTAAGTCATTAAACAATTTGATCAGAAACTGTTAACATGACTACAACAATCTCGTAAAATCTCAAAACTAATAACCCATTAATCTTAAATTGGGTCCGATGATTTTAATCTAGATCTATCCATGCTGTTGCTGTATAATCCTGAATGAATGGCCATTTGAACTATATATATCATTTGTTTGTTTCAATCTAAAAAATCTATTAGCCCCACCAACTTGATAACCTTTATATGATTTGTGACGCAATGTCTTTTTGGCGTGGTTCAATTAGGTTAACCCTTATACATCCAATCTGAAAATGTAGGTTCAAAAGTGGCAATTGGGTAGGTTTCTTTGTGGCTAAGTAGAGCAAAAGGATTGGTGAGCGATTTTTAAGTATGTACGTGGACGTCTAATATACTATTACGAGTTTACGACCTTGACGTCCTCTTTCAAGTCTCAATTCTATCCTCGCGAACGGTCACACCTCGCCTGAAGTTAACCTTTTGCCATTATTTTCCTACACATACTTTTATCCATTTTTTTGTTATAACATATTTTAATAAAATCTTTTGTGTTCTTTGAATGTGGGGCTGCCTTTAGATTCTTTATGTTGTCGCTCTCTTTGACCGAATAATTAACTTATGAATTTTATTGCAACATCAAAATTAAATTGAGAGATTCTACGAACAAAGGATCGGATTATATATATTATAATAAACGATGTAATTAACCTTTTAAAGAAAGTCGTTTCTTGGTAAAAATGTATAGTATATATACAGTAAGGTAGTAAACTATACGAACACTTATTTACATTGTGTTTTTTTTTAAAGGTATTATCGAAAGAGAAACATCGAAATTGAAAGTATTAATTTAACGGGTGTACTGGATGGATTCGCGAACCGTGAGTAGTGGCAACATGGCGACAAAACCAAATCCTAGCTGGTACTCTATTGGTGGATTTGCTCCTGTCCTATAAATACTCTATATTATATGTATATATAATGATTTGTAACGTGGATTAATGCAGTTTGTCCATGTATGTATAAAAACTTCTGATATGAAGAATATTTCAGGAAAGGAGGAAACGAAATTAGTTGAGAACATACTCCAAAATCGTCGGCCAAAATTACGAGAATGCAAGACAAGCAAACTTCTATTTTTCAAGCAAACAAACCAAACTTCTACCTTAAATAATAACTAAATAAAAATCTAAAGTGATTATTTTCAGCACGTTTAAATTTTCTCATAACCAATTTTTCTGGTCAAAAAAAAAAAACCCCCCACGGGTATGTTTGAATGATAATTTATTCCCTTTTCAACATTTTAATAGTATATCAGTGTTTTCTTTGGTGACACGAGCAAACCCTAGTATAGCTACTATACTTTCCCAGAAAAAAAAATGCGTGGATCAGTTGCGATCAACTTCGTTTTAATACAGACTGACACATATATATCTTACTTTTTTATTTTTTGGCTGAAGTTATAATTTGTTGATAATAATTAGAGAGAGATGTATGAATAATAATTGAAGAGATTCAAAAGGGTCAAAACATTATAATTCTTGGACACGAATATAAGAAAGTCATTCATCACATTCACAGCGCACAGCCTTTTTTTGTTACTTGTTTTCTTAAAAAGTTTTTTTCGTTGAGTTTCAGAAATAATGGATAATGCACTGTAAAATCCGTTTACGTAGGAGCCAACAAGATGGTAAGTGTAAAATTACTAGATGAGAATTCATGGAAGATTACTTAATTAAGGTTTTTATTTTCAATTTAATTTCCTGCTAAAGGATAGAAAACAACTAAAAGAAAAAGAAAGAAAACAGTTATTAAAAAAAATCTAAAAAAGGAAGAGAAAGAAAAAGTGAGGTAAGAAAGTAGATACGATTCTCTCTGATATTTCGTTCATAACATGAGAGATCATTGTTTGTTTGTGAAAAGAAAGTGACGTTTCAAAGACGTATCCTAAACGCAAAATTGACTTGTCTTTTTTCTTTTTCTTTGAACATTGTGTCTCTGAAAATAGTCAAGTCCCTCAATCAAAACGCTCCCTCACACTTAGAACACACAAATAAAAGGAGGCACAAAATCTAAAGATAGATTATAGAAATCGAGACAAAATCAATATTTCAAAAGTGAGAAGATATTCTTGTGTCTATTTTACAGCTTTGGTTTTTCTCTTTCACGTCCACGGTCCACCAACCAACCAGACTGCACTATGATAAGTGTTGAGTGATTTTACTCTGGTGTACTTATTTTTAAAATGTGTTTATTCTTGTTTTTTTTTTTGTGTGCAAGATATGTATCATAATGTCTACTGAATGTGGGCCGGTGAATAGTAAAAACAATAATTGACCAAATACACTTATTGATCTTACAAAGTAGGGATTGTTGTAGGGATTCTGAGAAATTTTAAGAAAACTAAAATCTATTTGATTCGTTACCCTTATTTCCAAAAAAGTTATAAAAAAAATATCAATCTGATTAAAAAAAGTTTTCTTAACACTGTAAATGATTTGAATGTTAAAAGCTACTATACCAAAAAAAGCAAATAGCCAAATACCAATCGGTCAATTACTTCGTGTGAGAAGAGAGCCAGAGAGGCATGTTGGATTTCAAAACTTCGAGACTTTTACACTCTTCACTCTTTAGTCTTCATTAATGGGCCTATTTACTTTGTTCCTATAATACACGGGCCTATGTTTACATTTAACGTGTAAACTCATATGTTAAAGTATACTAGTTTTGATAATGAGCTCCTTACAAACGTCGTTGATCATCTACCAAAAAAGTGTCATGCAATAATACTTGTTGCGCAAAAACTGAGTTTCAAGACAAGAAACTATAGACCTTGTTTGTTGTAGAATCTTTTGATGGTAACAAACAATATTTTGGCAACAAACAAACTAAGGTTCAAAGAAGAAGATACTTGGCAGTGTAATCAAAAGCTGGTCACTACTACAGAATCTTGGGGGAAACATAGGTAATAGACATGAAAGAGAAAAAAAAAAAAAAAATGGGGACTCAAAAGTTGAAGAAAGAAAAAAGAAGAACCAACAAACACGAAGAAACGACTCGATTAACTCCGAATGTGAAACCTCCTGAGCTATTGTCCTTAGTGGCCGGAGAAAAGCCACCTTCCGCTGTGCTTGTAGTGAGGATGACCACAATCCAATTATCATCAGAACCAATACCAATTCCAGTAAACTTAGAATCATTAAGGTTCTTGGAGTACTGTGACTTCGTGAAATTGGTCAAGACGAGGCTCGCATCAAAGTTAGGAACACAAGCTGGCATTATCACACCGTCTCTGGTTGCGGTTATGTTGAGACGGCATTTGGCGAGGAGGTTAGGGTAGTTTGGGAATCCAGGCTCGGATCCAGGGATTGAAGCTGAGCCAGTTGTGTTTGTGCAGACTTGGTTCTTGAATTGGTCTGCGATCTCATCTGCGAGACATTCTGCGTTGTCGTTTTGAGTTAGTGCCGTCAGGTTTAGGGTTGCTCTGTAGTTGTTGATGCTTGTAAGAAGAACGTCTTCTTCATCTGTCGATTTTAAAAACAGAACACACAAAAAGCAATCCGCAAAATTGATAAATTAATCTCAATCGGAAGTAATTTAGTAGTAAGAAAGGTAAATTAGAATTTACAGAAACGATTTTTCATGATCGAGATCGAGCGAAGAAACTGGAACAGAGAGGTAAGATTTAGAGTGATTCGACAGATCTAAGTCAAACTCATGAGTCGAGAAACCTAAATCGAGAAGATTCTTACGGAAATGAGAGAGTTGTTATTACCGTTGTCGGAAAGAACAGGACGATGAAGGGAGAGAAAGACTGAGAGAAGAAAGAGTAGGTGGAGCTTGGAAATCGCCATTGACGCTGATGATTCTTCTTAGCTTCAAGCTTTGCAGATTTTGCCTGATGACTTTAGATAAATTTAGTTCATTTGCTTTGACTCTTCAAAGTCGTTGATTCGGTTTTTTTCTTCCTCTTCTTGTCCACTCGATTTTATGCCAACTCAGACACATTAACTGACTCAGCAAACGGTGTCGTTTCGGAGGGAACTCTTTTCCTTTTTTAAAATCAAATTTTAGAGGGAAATTATTCCATCTATATACTTGATAACTGATTTTTGATGTACATCATATCCATAACCATAGAAAACTAATGATTTATGCAAGTTTCGTAAGAAAAAATTAAAAACTATTAACTTATTTTTAACAAATATTCTTTCTTCGGCAAATTTTGTTTAAATTTTCTTGGGAGTAGAAGAATATGCCATTGCAAGACAGGTGAGGACAAAAGAGAAATGTCTTAAAATCTAATTACAAACTAAAAACTGGTGGTGCATGTAACTTGTTGAAGATAGGGTGCAGCAAATCCTTCCAAAACACCAAGTCAAATGCAACTCTCTTTTCTTCACTTTCATCTCTCCCTCTCTCTTCAAACCTTTCAAGAGCCAAAATATTCCCAGCGAAAATGGTGGTTTCTGCTGACTGCAGAATCTTCCTCTCTGCTCCAAGCTGCCTACGCGGCTCCACGGGCTTGACCAGGCACATTAAGCTTGGCAGCTTCTGCAATGGAGAGCTCATGGGTAAGAAGCTCAATTCCGCTCAGCTTCCAAATGTCCGTCTTCGATCCTCTTCTTCTTCTACTAACTTCTCTCAGAAGAGAATTCAAATGTCTTTAACTAATGTAGCTGGTGAGAGTAAGGTAAAAGTTTTAACCTTTTTTTTTTCCTTCTGCTTCTTATTCTCCTTCGAGCTTATCAAGAGTGTCCTGCACTGCGTTTTGTTATGCCAACAACCTCCAGGCACAAGAAATTGAGAGTGAGAAAAGGGATCCAAGAACAGTCGCTTCCATTATTCTTGGAGGTGGAGCAGGGACTCGGCTCTTTCCTCTCACCAAACGTCGCGCCAAGCCTGCTGTTAGTTTTGCTTCTCTGTTCCAAAGTTTTCAATTTCCTGAAGCACACACAGTATAACTATTTGTGAATTACAGGTCCCTATTGGGGGAGCTTATAGGTTGATAGATGTACCGATGAGCAATTGCATCAACAGTGGAATCAACAAAGTTTACATACTCACACAATATAACTCAGCATCACTGAACAGGCATTTAGCTCGTGCTTACAACTCCAATGGCGTTGGCTTTGGAGATGGCTATGTTGAGGTTTGATATGCTTTCTTCATCATACATCACGAGCCAAACTGGTTTGATGCATCTGTGGCAACTTTCTTTTGAAAACAATTTCAGGTTCTTGCAGCCACTCAAACGCCAGGGGAAAAAGGTAATAGGTGGTTCCAAGGTACAGCAGATGCGGTTCGGCAATTCCATTGGCTTTTCGAGGTAGAAACCAATCAGACTTTAACTTGCTTTGTCTTCTTCACATGAAAAAAAACAGAGGTCCAACACTTTTTTTCATAGGATGCAAGAAGCAAGGATATAGAGGATGTGTTGATCCTTTCTGGAGATCACCTCTACAGAATGGACTATATGGATTTTGTACAGGTGAGACAAGACTATTTGAGCCAATCTCCTTCATCAAGAGTTAGTTACTCTTTGAGACTCACACCTTGAGCTTCAATCTGCAGGATCATAGACAAAGCGGCGCGGATATAAGCATTTCCTGCATACCAATAGATGACAGGTGAATGCAAAAGACTATGGAAAAGATCAAAGATCATGCTTTCTTATTATGCTGGATCAAAGATCATGGTTTCTTATAGTCTCTCTCTGTGTTACATGGTAGACGTGCCTCAGATTTTGGTCTTATGAAGATTGATGAGAAAGGAAGAGTCATCTCTTTCAGTGAAAAACCTAAAGGAGCCGAACTGAAAGCAATGGTATGTTCAAAACTTTGGGATTCACTCTTTGGAAAAAAAAAATAGCATCTCGGGACAAAACATGAAGTTGTTCTGACCTCGGGTATATCCTTAGGCAGTAGACACAACTGTATTAGGACTTTCCAAGGAGGAAGCTGAAAAGAAACCATACATAGCGTCAATGGGAGTTTATGTTTTCAAGAAAGAAATACTGTTGAATCTCTTGAGGTAACACTTTTTGGTTCTCTATGTTGTTCTGTCTCTGCATATTCTAAGAACAGTGCAAAAATAGATATCTTGCAATTGTTTTGAAACCAGATGGCGTTTCCCCACAGCAAACGACTTTGGTTCAGAGATTATACCCTTCTCAGCTAAAGAATTCTATGTGAATGTCAGTAACATTAAGATTAAGCACGCATTTACGTCTAATGAGTAATGTTATACCAAGGGTGAATAACATGATGATTTGAGCAGGCTTATCTATTTAATGACTACTGGGAAGATATAGGAACAATAAGATCTTTCTTTGAGGCAAATCTCGCCCTCACTGAGCATGTAAGGACAAATATTTTCAGAGACAACTCAGTTTTCCAAGATATTGTTCATAATCATCAAATCTACTCATTTTAATATCACTAACGTCTACGTCTATACCTTTTAGCCACCGGCATTCAGTTTCTACGACGCAGCGAAACCAATATATACATCAAGGAGAAACCTGCCACCATCAAAAATAGACGGCTCTAAGGTAAGTAAAAAACACAGCCATAATATTTCCTTCTACTTCTATGTATTTCGGTTTTGGCCCCCTTTCTTCAGGATTTAACTCTCAAGTTCATTACATGTGAAGCTCGTTGATTCGATCATTTCTCATGGAAGCTTCTTAACCAACTGCTTAATTGAGCACAGCATTGTGGGAATTAGATCTAGAGTAGGCAGTAATGTTCAGTTGAAGGTAGGCAAACAAATATCTTTCTAAATCACCAATGTAAAGGACTAGACTCTTAAGATTATGTAATGATCTAAAAGCATGGAAACTCTAGGACACTGTGATGCTTGGGGCAGATTTCTACGAAACTGAAGCAGAAGTTGCATCACTGCTTGCTGAGGGAAAAGTTCCCGTTGGAATAGGAGAGAACACAAAAATTAAGTAAGAGTAGTTACCAACTTCACATGGTTTACCTTAGAAACAGTTCTCATTTGTGAATTTTCCTCATTCCTTCTCCTTTTCCCTACAGAGAATGCATAATAGACAAGAATGCTAGAGTTGGGAAAAATGTAATCATCGCAAACTCGGAGGTAAAAAGTTCTTTTATTTAAGAGAAAATGGACTGATCAGACACAATTCTTTGTTTGCTTATCACATTTTGCACTAATGTGGTGGTTTGCAGGGAATACAAGAAGCAGATAGGTCATCCGAAGGATTTTACATCAGATCTGGCATTACAGTAATCTTGAAGAATTCAGTAATTGCGGATGGTGTTGTGATATGATGATATTTTAAGTCTTAATTGTGAGAACTAAGAATGCAGAGCAAAAAAGTCAAAACGAAGCAATTTATTTGAAATGATGAAATTTCTCCTATAATCTTTCAGTGCAATTAAGGGTGTTTTGACTCACCCTTATTTGTAGTTATGAACAAAGTGTAGGAAACGAAGGCAAATATGCTAATATTATGTACTGGGAAAATTCATACTGTACCTACAACATCAGTTCCTCGCAGCTGAACATTAGTTCATTTTCAAACCTTTGCAAGACAAATCTTTCCTCGGACGTGATCAGATTGGTAACAATGCATTTCCTGTCCGAGAAGGGTTTTCGACCAGCTCTTCCAGCTCGGTGAAGATAATCTGTAGCCGTTTGTGGGAGATCAAAGTTGAAGATATGCGTTGTTTCTGGTAGATCAATCCCTCTTGCTGCAATATCAGTAGAAACAAGAAGAAACCCTCCTCCTTGCCGAATTTCCTGCGGAAGATCATGAATGTTAGTAAAAAAAAAAAGAGTATGGATTCAGGATCATAGTCCGGAGAAAATAAAACCACGTACTGTCAGTGAAGCTGCTCTTGAATTGAAATTCATGTCCTCCTCTAATAGGAGTATCTCCAGTGAGCCATCATATGAAGTTTTGAGCAATTCAATTACCAGAGTTGTAGATGGATCATTTCCAGCCTTTTTCGACTTCTCAGACTGATCAAGAAACATCAGAAAAGTGTGTTACACTTGCATAGTTAGATTAAGTGAAGCCATAAGGGAATTAAGAGGTTTCCAAAACCTGCTCGCCGACAAAAATAATAGCTGATTCAGGTGCATCAGACTCTAACAAGGCAAGCAACACTTGATGCTTGTTACTCTTCCCACACACCTGCCAAAATACAGGTCAGACGTAATAGCAGATGCATATCATGACAAAAGAAGTCTAACAAGTTAGATCTTACCACAAATTTGTGAAGAAGGCACAAAGGCATTGGCATGATTGCGCTAACGTGAATATGAACAACATCCCTCTGCAGGAATATGAAAAAAAAAAACAAGTGACTCTAAATCCAAGTCCAGAACTGGTTCATAAACAAAGCTTGAACATAATTCACAGTAAGAGAATACATTCACAAGCTCACCTTTGTCCATTTTTGCTGTATACAGTCATGAACAAAATGTTTGTGCTGAGGGATGGAAGCACTGGCAAAAACCGTCTGACGTTTATCGCATGAAGAAAACGACGTCAAAAGCTTCCGCACAGAACCGACTTGTTTTGATGAGTAGAATAAGAAATCAACCTATCAAGTGACCATTCAAACATATTCCTGGGTGAGAAAATGTTCTGAGTATGATATTCAATGTTCAGAAGAGTATCATACATAGTTGAGAAAGTTTTTACCTCATCTACAACAAGAACTTTCACCGAGTCAAGTCTAAATATGTGCTTTTCTAGCATGTGGCACAAACTAGCTACCGTAGCAACCACAATCGCTGGTGGCTCCGCCTAAAAAAAAAGGTTAAACTTTTTGACTTAAATCGCAAAGAAGTGACTTAAAATCTTTAAAAAAAAGGCTTTTTGAGTAACCTAATGTCCAACCTTTAACCAGCTTCTTTGCCTTCTAAGCATACCTCCATCTAAGAGAGCCATTACTGTACATCCTTTCGCCTCAATATCCGTGGATTTTGCAGCCAACATTCGAGCAACCTTTGTAACCTTAACCCAAAGAGGCAATAATTCCAAGTATGTCATAACAAGATTGAGTCAGAGGAAGATTTTTCAAATCAATGCCTACACTTACTTGCATGCCGAGCTCTCGAGTAGGAACAACAATTACAGCTTGCACAGAAGATCGTTGATTTATAAGAGAGAATATGAGTAACAAGTATGTCAATGTCTTGCCTGAACCTGTCTAGATCACCAATACATACCAACCTTAACGATTCTGACAATTACAAAGATGATAATCAAAGAGAGATCATAAATGGAAGTATGGATGAGAAACGGACTTGAGCATGGAGGATGCAATCACGGCCAGTAAACAAAATAGGTAGAGCTTCTCTTTGAATATCAGTGGGTGTGACAAACCCAATCTCATCCATTCTGCAACGTAATTTCAAAATCTTTTCACAAATTTCGAATTCAGTACTTTTCAAATCAAATTTTCTACTAAAAAAAAAGCTTGCCTTTGTAAAATATGCTCCGGCACAAATCCCTGGCAGATGTTTCGTAGAGTCAAAGCAGTTGTTTCGGTGGCATCGTTGCTTTCGACTTCAGAGCAAGCGTCGGCGACGGCTTGGAGGTTAGTAAACCGATAATTGGATGAGGATTGGAGAACTCTCCTGGTCGTAGCGGAGGAAGTAGAGTGAAAGAAAGTAGGCTTTTGTGTTGAGAAGAAGAAGGAAGGATTAAAGGATGAGACTTTAGGGAAGAGCGCGAAATGAGGAACAAATAGAAGCTGAGACGCCATTGCTGAGCACCTCCGCAAAAGGAAATCGGAGAAGAAGGATAACGAAAAATGAATTTTGCGACAAACTCTCCCGGCGCCGTATGTTCATTGGTTACTTTCGTAAATCAATTTCACTTATTCAATTTACCGAATTTGTTTTCTTCTGTCTGTGATCCTGACGGTAAAAATCCCAATGGACAAAAAGGAAAAAACTTTTGAAGATATGGAAATGGGATTACAGTTTACAAAACTTTGACATTCAATTGCAAACAGAAAAATCGAAGCTTGGAAGAAGAAGTGAAACTACAAAACATGAACTTGGTCAGTGTACTTCTGCTTATCCTATACAAAAGAATCTTTTCTTTTGAGCCTCTACAAAATCATAAACCTGTTCCAAAGACATAATGGTTCATACCAAAGTACAAATAGATTGATGACTTTAAGCTAGCTTACTATTTGCTTCATCTTTTTTTTGTTTTGCTCCACTTTTCTATGGTTCTATACCAATCCCATTGGAAAACCAAGCTAATGAGCCTTATTAGACCACCGAACGTAACTTCAACGAAAGCAATCCAAAACGATCTCTGAGGAGACATGCCGCTGCTCGCAATAGATAGCAAGAACCCAATAATGAAATGGCACGTCACTGTGAATCTTCCTGCTTTGATACCGTCGAAGACATATCTTGGCTACTTGTTTGGTTTTCATTGAACCAGATGATGCGGCTATGATGGAAGTGAGCTCTGGCCTCTTCTTCTGTTCTGACTTCTGAGAGCCCAAACAAGAAAAAATCATATAATCTCTCGTCAGGAACATGAAATCAGAAACTATCATCTCATATATTCTACATACCAAATGATAATCTAATGATTTTAAAAAAACTTCAAAAGATTCTGGATTGTTTTTACCTTGTTCAAACCCGGGTGTATCTGTGTCAGGAGGAAACAAGAGAGTCACACATGAATATCATCAGAAATAACTTCTTGCTGCAATGCTTGCGCTAAACCCTGAAGCCCAAACTTGCTAGCTGAATATGCAGTGTAACCGTAGATACCTGCCTGAAAAAAAGTAAAAGCAAAAAGCATCACAAAGTTTAGCTGAGAAAATGCATCTCTCTCGACTTCCACAATCTACTGATTGCTTTTAATGATTCCATTTAGTTTAATTTCTCAAGTTAGCTAAAGGCTAAAGCAAATTTACGTCTGCGTTCTTACTCCAACATCCATACCACTTTCCTTCACTAATTAGATGGACTTCGAAAGTGGAGCTTTGCGTTTTTCCGCGGGTTGGATTTCTTGTGGAAAGATCGCCAGTCCGTCATCGGAAGGAGTTCCACAAGCTAAGGACTGGCGATCCTTCCACAAGAAATCCAAGCCACGGAAAACGGTTTAATCACATTGAAGCTTCCCACCAGATTCACATCAATCATCAACTTGACTTCCTCCGAACTCTGTTTCTCTAGCTCCTTCCCGATATACACGCCTTGATTGACGATTAACACGTCGATCGGCCCCGATTCGCCAACCGCATTCGAAATGGCGTCGTAATCGCGAACGTCGGCGGAGAAGGTTGAGATCTCGACGCCGGTGGCTAGCTGAATGGATCGTTTCGCATCGGCGAGCTTTTCAGCTGAGCGGGCGAGGATTGAGACTCGAGCGCCCTCGGTGGCGGCGAGGTGAGCGAGAGCGAGACCGATGCCGCTGGATCCACCGGTGATGAAGACGTGGCGCGACTTGATTGGGATCCTGACGGATCTAGGCCGTACGATCAAAGCCAAGATGGTGAGAAGAGAGATGAGAAAGAGGACGAAGAAAAGGAAGAGTGAAGAAATGGCCGACACTGAAATTCTTCAGTTCACACTGTGTGCCTCGTCGAAGAAAATAAATGCTAAGACACTACTAGTAGTTAATTAAAAATCAATTAAATTAAAAGTTAAAACTTAAAACTTAGAACTCTCTTATCGCCGAAATTGATTGTAGTGTGTATTTAACGACAATTAAAGTAGTGTGTACTCTACTTAACAAAAGGAATCTCGTATTGATTCCACCGTCACCTATAAAATAGTACTAATATTTATCTATGAATCAGAAAATGTTTATTCAATTTTTGTCTTGAGGGTTGTTGATTGTAGTCTGTCTGTTCTTTATGATAAGCTCTTAGGCACATTTCATCTTTAACATTGGTGCCCTCATGCGTTGTTGATTAATGTCTTAATTATTGTTCTTTGTTTGGAGTTTGGTTAATCTTTAGCGATGTTTGTGTTCTTTTTATTTTAGTTTATTTAAGAAAGAAAGAAAAACTGTGATATATTATGAAAGCAAGTGATTTTTATGAAAAGTAGGAGTCCATCATCATATTATTTTGCTCTAAATAGAAATACTAAAAGAATGAGATATTAATAATGGGAGAGAGAGATGGGCATGTGAGTGTAAGTGGCAGGACAGGAGATGTGTGAGCTTGTGACAGTCTTTAGATCTGACTTTTTTTATATTAAGACAGTGTGGCAAACTCAGCTGTGATGTCCCAAAGATATTGATTGATTGGAGAGAGATAGAGAGATGGAACATTTGCTAATCTCACATGGGGCTTGTCTTTATACATTCCCCCATCAATCTTGTTGTAATTAGTAATCAACCAACAGATGATTAACAAATTTGATTTTTATAATTCAATCCTTAAAACGATTACAGATGGAGAAGTCAGTCAATCTCTAAAATGACAAGCAAGAGTTACAATAAAACAAGAACAAACTTGGAACACATCTCCAAGATATAAATCCTTATTGTTTGCTAATTTACAAACAAATCAATCTTATTGCATCTCTATAAAAAATATGCTTAATTATATGAATTGACCACACAAAATCATTAATCTTTCCAGAATTTGGTTAAGTTGATCAAGTGTAGATAGATGCTGCATCTCTGTAGGTTCTTCTTGGGATAGAAGCATGGACACTATTGACCATGCTGCTCTTGTTGTTGTTGTTGTGACCGGTGAGAGTAAATCTCGAGTTGTCCTGATTCTGCTGATACTCTTGTCTGTTTTGATGAAGAGAGTGTTGTTGCTTGGCGTTGAAGGAACTAAACTTACCTTGCTTCTGAAGACGATGAGGCCTTCTTCTCGGCTGAGAAGATCTAGGGATAAACACACCAGTCCCTTTGCTCTGTTCTTGTTGATACACATATGGAGCCGCTTGGTAGCCTCCTCTGAACAAACCCTGTTTCCACAAAGATTCGAGAAACACAGTTAGATAGGCATATATATAGAGAGAGAGGGAGAGAGAAGGGACGGAGGAACAAACCTGGAATGAGAGAGAGGAGGGGGAGGAGGAAGAGATAGAAACAGGGTTTAGCTGTTCATCTTCATCCATGATAAGGAGAGAGATCTGTCTGCTAATGTCTGCAAAGAAGACATCATCATCAAGCTCTAGCTCCATAGCCATATATCTTAGCTTCCAAGTTTCTTGAGACTTTGTTGCTCCGTAGAAACAAGCCTTGTGTGTATTTTTTTTGTTTTCTTTGCTTCTAGTGGAGTTCGAGGGAATGTTGAAAGAGTCAAATAAATAGGCAAAGAAATTGCCCCTTAAGGAGAGATAAAGAGAGAGAAGAGCATGTGGGTGGGAGAGTGGGACCAGAGAAAAGAAAGAGATTTTTGAACAATGTAAATCTAATCTGGCCAAGTCCCCACACAACACAACATGAAGGACAGGAGGAGGTTGTGCATTGATGTTATCCAGTTGTTCAGTTTTTTTAAAAAAAAAGATAGAAATCAAAGTTCACACACAACCAATATCCACTCTGTTTTTATTACATAAACATATCTCATATTTGTGCAAAAATGTAAGATAACTCTACCAAATTACTACTCCCTCTGTTCCTGAATATAAGATGTTTTAGCTTTTATACAGTTATTGAGAAATATTTAATAGCTAATTATTAATGTATTGTTTTCTACACCAACTACTTTTTCAATAAACACTAACCAATTGTAATTCAAGAATCCAAATACTTTTAGTTAATACTTCTTGAAGTTAGTAATATGCTAACATTAATTAACAAAAAGTAACTTTTAAAAGCTAAAATATCTTATATTATGGAACAAAAAAAAATCCTAAAACATCTTATATTCTGAAACAGAGGGAGTATCACTCATTTAGGTACGCCTTGGTTTACATTATCAATCATGATATTGGCAAAAATTATCTATCTTCGATACATAGGGACTAAGGAAATCTTTTTTATGGCTACAAGATCCTAAAACAGCCACATGGAAGACAGTTTGTGGTGGGCAATCGAGTAAATGGACAATACACAATTTGGATTTTGGAGAGAGAGAGAGAGAGAGAGAGAATCTAACTCATTGATATGATATGGTTTGAGGATAGTGTTTGAGTGAAGTAGGGTCACACACCGATTCTACTTCGATAGTTCATACTTCATATAAACGATTTTTCCCAAGCGAACCTTGACGTCGGTCTATATACAGTTTTATACGTACACGATTATCTATTTTCTAATCACTTTCCGAGTAAACAGAACACATGACGGAGTTCATGTCACTAGTTTTTCTTCTCTTCAAAATATGGATTTGATACGTTTTTCAGTGTTTGATTAGTGATCAAGTCTTGACCTTTCAATGGTGATAATGAAGAAAGAAGTCATAGAACTTACCTTATCTCCTCAGCCCATACTACGTTTCAAAAAAGCTAGTTTCAAGTCTCCAAGATCAGAGGAAATGAACGGTGCAAGAGTAACCAAGTATAGCCACAAACAGAAGAGGAGAAAAGGAAAATATTTTTATAAGTTTTCTAAGAAATTATTGTTTTTCAGGTCACAGATTCACATCTTCAAGGTTAAAAACAATCATATAAACCCATCTGTTTAGAGTAAAACATTTTTTTCTTTCTCATCACGCAGTAGAAATCTGCTATAACAACTAATAGCGACAACCAAAAAAGACCAACAATAAGAACGGGGACAAGTCAAGCTGCCCATTTCTCGCTCCGAGTTCATGCTCCAATGGCTGTATCCATGTCTGTAACACCATCAACTCCTTTGAAAACTACCCTTAGCTTCGTTAAGCTCGAATGTTTCTCTTCGTTCTTGAGGGCTGTGCCAAACACATGGACAGTGTCCTTCTGGACTCTTCCCATTAGATCATAGAGCGTCTTGCTTAGGTTTGGTCTGTGCATTTCTTCTAGAACCGGAGGCGCCTGCATGTAGAGGCTGTCTTTCCCGTGTTTCACACTTGCTTTCGACAATAGAAGCTTCGGATGTTCTTCAAGCATGTCAATGAACTAGGAAGAGAAAACAAATATGAAATTGAGAAGCGAAGTTTCAAATGGACAAACAAAAAGGGTAATTAAGCACGACTAAGTAATAAAAATAGCTAAAAGGGTAGCAAAAAGCTAAGAACAATCACATCCAAGCATCAATACAGTGATAAATATAAATGCTTCCCATAGCACTAGAGAAGTGGATACTTCACGTCAAATGTCAAGGATCATCGCGGTATTAAAAAGACAATGAGACGATAGAGTGAGAGGAAGGACCTTTTGCAAAGTAATTGAGGTGTCTAGCTCAATCAGAATACCCGGACCACATACAAGACAGTCCTTGTCCCTCACGAACTCCGTCACTTTAGTGTGGAGGCCCTCTCCACCGTTATACCTAGCGAAAACGAAAACCAGCCAAGTTGCTAGGGGTAAACATTGAATTCTTTGCAAATTCCTATATTTAAATAGAAGACTGTGGCAAGTAAACACATACGTCAGATAATTCGCAAGTGTTTTGCTGCATCCAGACACAATTTTCAAGGTTTCAAGAGCGCAAGCCGCTGATATAATCGCGTTGGTAGATGCAATTGCCGGTATTATGTTTTTAACCACACCCTACATAATAAAACAAGCGTCTTCTCAGAGTTTTTTTTCATGAATACAAATACAGCAAAGAGATTTCCATCTGGCATGCTTAAACGTTTACAAGAAGATTTAAGAAAGTGAGAACTGTTACATACTTGTGTGAGAGAGTATGTGACACCCGGTATTCCAAAGAGCTCGGCTCTCTTGATAGCCTGCAAAGATAATGAAAAATATGAGATAAGATAAAATTCAAGCTGCTAGCATAAATGAGTCAAAAGAATGACTAACCTCATCATAGACCCACTTCATATGTTCTGGCTCATCCGGATCAAAGGATTTTCCACCATGAACCTTCAGGCAAACGACTATACTTTGAATAAACAAATACATATTTACTTGGAAGTAAAAGTCTCTTACAAAAATCGAATCCATTCACATACCTCAGGCCACTTAATTAGATGTGCATATTCAATGCAATGAGCTGCATTCCTAGGGGTTTCTGCAAGAGTGCACAAAGGAAACTTCACTTGCGGTGGGAAAAGCCAAATTGTGCACTCGAAACAGGGTGTAACTCCAGGCACAATAACTCTAGCATGACCCTTGAAACCTTCCGTTCCCCCATCTACCATCGGTTTGATTGTTTCTCTTCTTGGGGTATCATCTTCATCATACTCTATACTTCACAACCACATGATCAGAGAGAGAAAGTAAAAAAGCCGAGAGGTAGGAAGTAGTTTATTGGTATTTTCATACCAAGAAATCCACAAGCAACCCCATTGATGTATCTCCGGGCTTCAATAGAATCAAGACCAAGGGCAATGATACTAAAATTGTTATAGAATTCAAGCTCTTTGTCCTCTATACGTGAAAAGTGCGGCACAATCTCCACTCCACTCACTCTTTCCATGACACGCTTTGCTGCTACCTCTGCCTTAGGCTTCCCTACGTCTTCAAGTCTAATACAATACCAAACCAAATCAATCACACAGCTGCACAACTATCATCAATTCCTAAAGAGATAGCTATCGATTTCTAGAAACCCTACTGAGATTCAACAGATTCTTAAGTTTATATGATCAACGAATTTCTTAGATAACCGAAATTACCTGAAGAGGAACTGGCGATTGAGATTGGTGACTTCGATGCGGTCCATGTCAATCACATCCAGATTACGGAAACCAGAAAGAGCCAAGTCCTTGAGGAGCTCACAACCCAATCCACCGGCACCAACCACCAAGATTCTCACATACTCCCGTATGTCGTCTCTCAGCTGTATAAGGAAATTTTAGCTCAGAAGAAACCATAAACGATACAAATTTACAGAAGAACCTCAGAGAGAAGCAATCGAATAATTTATCAAATAAAACCCGAAGAAACGATCGAGAACTAAGAGAATTAGGCGTTTACTTCGGTTCCGGGATAGAAGTCGGGGCCGACGAGATTCCCAGGTCGGAGAAGAAGCTTGTCGAGGTCTCTCGACTTACTCTGAGGAACATCGAGATCAGCCATTGAAACAGAAGGACGAGGCAGAGAGAGTGGTGATTCACCGAAACTGATGACGGAGGAGAAGCTCGAAGAAGAAGCCGACACACTGCCACACGGAGCTCCGAAACCTCTCTGGCTTCTCTAGGACACACGATCCTTATACTTATTGGGTAAACAATGGGCTGGGCCCAAAACTAAATTGTATATTAGGAAAAATGTTAACATATATCCTTTTGTTTTGTTAATTTGGCTACTTTTTAAGTTTTTTCTGGATAATGGGGATGATTGGTAGGGGCTGTGGTTGCTCTGCACAGCCCTAAATCTCTCTACAGTAATACCAAATTACCAATCAAGCTCTCATTTTATCTCTTTCCATTTTTGAAACACAGAGCAATTTTATTTATTTATGGAAGTTCCGTGGCTTTGGAAAGCAATTTTTCTAGAGCACCAAATTAAGGGGATGATTGGTAAGGGCTGTGGTTGCTCTGCACAGCCCTAAATCTCTCTACAGCAATACAAAATTACCAATCACGCTCTCATTCTATCTCTTTCTATTTTTGAAACACAGAGCAATTTTTTTTATTTATGGAAGTTCCATGGCTTTGGAAATCAATTTTTCTAGAGCACCAAATTAAGTGCTCTTAGAATTTTCTTTTTTCTCTTTCCTTATTAATCTTTCAATATTTATTTTTTAATCTATTATTTCTATATCTTAACTTTTTTGTTTTAATGCTATATTTAATGACACAATCTACAATAAAAAATCTTACAGCACTAAAATCTAGAATCACAGCCAAAATTTCTACAGCATTAATTCTACAGCAAAAAAAGTAAAGTTACAGCCACAACCAATCAGGCCCTAAGTGTTCTTAGAATTTTCTCTCTTCTCTTTCCTTATTAATCTTTCAACATTTATTTTTTAATCTATTATTTCTATATCTTAACTTTTTTGTTTTAATATTATATTTAATGACACAATCTATAATAAAAAATCTTACAGCACTAAAATCTAGAATCACAACCAAAATTTCTACATCATTAATTCTACAGCAAAAAAATTAAAGCTACAGCCACAACCAATCAGGCCCAATGTTTTAGCAAATTTCCTGTTTCTCTTAGACAAAGAAAATTTCCTCTTAATAAATTTTGGTGGATTTAGTTGATTATTTCTAAGATCCTTTAGAAGATACAGATAAGGCCCCGTGTATAACCAAAGTTTATCTTAAGATATTTTAAACAATCTACAAAAAATATTAAATAAAATATAATTAATCCTAAGTGTAATTAATAGTATTGAAAACTCGATAAGAAATCTTTAAATAATATAGAGTAATAATAATTAATTACATATCAAGATCTTAATAATTCTAACAAGAAAAATTGACATATGTTATCATGTCACGGTTTTTCAGCTTTATATAATAAGATAAGCAAATCTTCATATTTATATTATTTTAAACGCTTAATTATTGTTAAAAATTGATATATTCCATTAAAAAAAGTTTTTTAAAAAACCTATAAAAACCTATAAACTCTTAGACACAAAGAGAAGAAAGAAAAACAAAACACAAACGTATCAAGATGGAAACTATTTTCATTGTCATAAGCATATGTTGTGGGGCTGCACTTCTGGTATGTTGTGTCGTCACCGCTTGCTGCTCCAGTCGCAGTGCCGATGGCAATGAAAGCGAATAGAATTTGGTCAACGTGAAAAAGGGTCACGACATCGCGTGATGAAGCCACTTAATTATGGCATTTTCCTAGCTATTTATGATTATGTTATTATATTTTCTGTGAAATAAATATTATTTATATTTTTAAAGAGTTATAGTATTGTTTATTTATTTAAATAAATCATAATCAAAATAATTAAACTGTTAAATTAAAACTATTTACAAATTGAAAGACTATTTTATAAATAACAAAATTTAATACCAAAATAGCATATTGCATAATCTCATGCCAAATATATAAGCAAAAATAGCATGTCGCTATTTTGCAATAGCATATGCAATATGGTTGGAGCAATTGATATTGCAAAATAGCACATATGTCATATTTAGTATGGGGTTGGAGATGCTCTTATAGTCAATCATCAAGTCAAGGCCTCTCATCCCTATCATCCTCATCATCATCATCATCATCACACTCCACAATGTCATATGAATAGCTCTCATCTTTCGATTTCTTCTCAATTAGTACGGTATTCTTAGTTGATTACATAAGCAAAAGGAATTGAATACCAATCCCTTTGTTTTTCTTCTTTGATTTGTATAAATAATTTCAACTTTTTCCTGAGAAAATGGGTTCAAGTAAAAAATTATGAGACTAATCCTTGACTGATCAATGACTCAAGTCTTTCAAGGTAATGAATTTTCCATATAATAATTGTTAATTATGTCTTCCTTGTAGATTTTTCACATAAATTAAGAAAAAAACAATGTTAAGTTATTAATCTGTTCCTTTTTGTTTTGTTTTTAGTTACTTTTCAAGTTTTTTTTAGAAAATGTTGTAGCAAATTTCTTTAATTTTCTAGACAAAGCAAATATCCTCTTGAAAAATTGTGGTGGATTTTTGAAGATCTTTTAGAATACCAAGCAAATCCCCATCATTGTATTAATTACAGTCCAAAATTTCTTATATTCATTCATTATTCAACCAGAAAAAGAAAAACCTGTATAATCAATCTCTCAAAAAATCTTCTAGACCCGGCTTTTTGATCTTTGCTACATAAACTCTCAGACACAAAGAAAATAAAATAAAAATACAGAAACGTCTCAAGATGGAAACCATTTTGTTTGTCTTAAGCATAGGTTGTGTGGCTGTGCTTCTGGCATGTTTTGTCGCCGTCTACGCTTGTTGCGCCAACCGCGGTGGCGGTGGCGATGGCGATGAAAGCCAGAAGAATCTGGTTGACGTGGAAAAGGGTGAAGCGGTCACACAAGAACAAGATGTTTCAAAGTTGAGCTAGTCCGCCGCCACTATGGCATATTCGTAGCTATTCATCGTAATCATCAAGTCCAGGCCTCTCGTCCTTATCATCATCATCATCAAGCTGCCAGAATTTCACGCTGAGACCAATCGATAGCTCGATTTTTATAAAGAGATACCATATTTCGATTTCTTTTGAATATGTATTCTTAGTTGGTTTAGAACAATTTCAATCATTTCCCGAGAAAAAGGGTCCAAATTATCAACTAGTTACGAGACTAATCCTTGACTGATGAAGTCACTTAAATCTTTGAAGCTAATGCATATCCTTTTGTTTTGTTAATTTGGTTACTTTTTAAGTTTTTTTCTTCGGGATAATGTTGTAGCAAATTTCCTTTTTCTTATAGACAAAGCAAATTTCCTCTTAATAAATTTTGGTGGATTTTTTGAAGATCTTTCAGAATATCAAGCAAATCCCCATCGTATTAATTACAGTCCAATATCAACCAGAAAAAAGAAAAACCCTATAATCAATCTCTCCAAAAATCTTAAACCCTGCTTTTTTTAGCTTTGCTCTACATAAACTCTTAGACACAAAGAGAAGAAAACAAAAAATACAGAAGCGTATCAAGATGGAAACTATTTTGTTTCTCTTATGCATAGTTTGTGTAGCTGCGCTTCTGGCATGTTTTGTCGCCGTCTCCGCTTGTTGCGCCAACGGCTGTGGCGATGACAATGGCGATGAAAGCAAGAAGAATCTGGTTGACGTGGAAAAGGGTGAAGCGGTCACACAAGAACAAGATGTTTCAAAGTCGCGTGCCGCCAACACTTATGGCACCTTCTTAGCTATTCATCGTAATCAGCAAGTCCAGGTCTCCCATCCTCATCATCATCATCATCATCGTCATCATCATCATCATGTTTCACGTTAAGACCAATCGATTGCTCGATTTTTATGAATAGTCTCATATTTCGTTTTAGTATTCTTAGTTGGTTACATAAGCAAAAGGAATTGAATACCAATCCCATTGTTTTAACTTCTTTGATTTGTATAAACAATTTCCTTAGAAAAAGGGTCCAAATTATCAAAATTAGTTACGAGACTAATCATTGACTGATGAAGTCACTCAAATCTTTGAAGTGAATGTATATCTTTACAACCAAAGACGCTTTAACCTAATTAGTAATTACAAATCCCCCACCCAATTAACCTAATCACCCAATTAAAAAGAACATCAGCTGTTTACCAAAAAGATGTTATGTAAACTTGTCTGAATCGCTACTGTTTGATATTGAATAGCCTTGACGCTTAAGAAACATCGCATAGAGAAGCTCATTCCACGAATCAGGAACTCCAGGGAGACACCAATGGCTGCAGTCTTGCCTGTGAACCGGTGCAGGACCAGCCGAGCCCAAGTAGTACAGCGAAGGATGACCATCGTTTCTCTGAGCAGCCATGGTTGTTATGTTCAACAGGTTCAGTTTCACAACCGCCTCTGTCCTGTTCGAGTAGTAAAGAGACGACGACAAGACGCCTTGAAGGAGCTTTATATGATCCCATGTCTCTGGTGGAACCAGAGTCGCTCCAAAATCAGGGAGCGTCTCCATATTACACGTTCCTCCTGTTCTCCAATCTCCTCCTCTGAATGAAAGCAAAAACTCTCAATTCAAAACAGAAACTTGGATAGTAGATTGATGGAAGATTCTTGTTTTATCATGTGCAACAAACCTGAAATGCACAGGTGCAAATGTGCGGAAGAAGACTTGAGTTTTGTTTGAATCAACCTCTTCTTGTATCCATTTCACAACAGTCTTCATAGCTCGTCTATACGCATGACCTATTCTCATAGTCATGTTCACTTTTGCTCCTTCTTGAAAGTAACAACCTCTGCAGTAACAACAATCCAAGATCTGTCAGATAAACCAAAACCAAATTGTTAACAAGGAAGAAGAAAGAAGCTAACCCGCGAATGGTTTTCTCGTAGTTCCACCAGTGACCTGTGTTAAACACTAACACATCCGCGTCTCTCCACTTGTCAGCACTCCAGTCCATGGTCTCTAGCTTAAGAGTCGTCTTCACCTTCTCTGGTGAGCCTCTAGGTGGACGGCTTTGGAGAACCAAGAACGGAGCTCTGTAGTATTCAACGGTGCAGTTGTAGTCAAGAAACTTGAACACAAAGAAGCCCATGTGCTTTGTGATGGGTTTATGGTTCACTTCGTAGACGGAATTGTTGTTCTTGACTGCAGAAGATAACATACAGAGAAGAGACTCCCATTGGTTTCTTCCAATCGAGTCTCCTACAAACACCAGCCGCTTGTTCCTTAGCTTCTCCAGCATCAACAACGCATCAAATCTGATCCATTTCATAACAAAAGAGTGAGCCAAGTAACTGAATCCAAAGAAGTTCTTAGTAACAGCTACAATAGTACTCACTAGGGTCTAATGTTCTTCCTCCTAACTAAAATCTCAAGCAAACCCGTTTTAGCAGGAGAAAGATTAGTACCTGGGCAAATTACAGTTTGTAGGTTGCCATCTCCACTTGGTGTAGAACAAATCAGGTCTCCCAAACTCAGTGCATCTGAAACCTTCATCGAGAAAGGCGCAATCTTTGGATTGATACAAGGGATACGATTCGTCCCAAACCCATTTCCCATCTAGCAAATCACAGCCATTCCCACTCTCTTCAAGAAACCCAGCTCTGTTTTCGCTCGTGTAGCGATCTCCAGACCCAAAATCGAGCTCCTTGAGCCAGAGGAATCTCTCAGAATCATCCGAAAGGTCGAAGCTTTTGGTTTTCGCAACTGTTCTGTAATCGAGGTAGAAGAAGCTCAAGACTAAGCACAGACCCACGAAGAAAAACCCCAAGATTCCCAGTGACGGCTCCAAGACGAGCCTCAAACGCTTGAGTCTCTTGGTTACTTCGGAGATTGGCAGGGCTTCGTCATCGTCTTCGAGAGATGTGTTCTTCGACATCTCTGAGGTTTCAAAAGAGAAAAGCAGCTGCGAAAGTTTAAGACTTTATTAATCCCCCAGGTTGATTCTTCTTCCTTTCTGCTTGAGCTCTCTAAAAGGAATCAAAAGGGAGAAAGTTTGAATAAGAAACAAGAAAAGACCAAGGACAATGGGGCCAGTGAAAGCTGAGGAGGCAGCTTTGCTTCGTATGTTAGATTCGTCGAATTAAGAAATGGATTAGCGAGCAAATACAAGTTCCAAAGCTGCAATTAACGATTTCGGTTCCCTTTCAAAAACTAAACAATGCTCCAAAAAATGAGAGACTAGAGAGAGACTTGGAGACTGTGCATGAAGCCATGAATCGTGGGGTCCAAAAGATGGAACACGCGCGAATATGGCGCGTAAAAGAAGTGTTTAGCAAAGCGAAGTGGTGACTGGTGAGAGTGGTGGGGGGCCAAAACGGCGTAGCTTTTAGTATGCATTTATACGGTTATTAAGGCGTTTTGTGCGTTAAGTCTTGTTTTTTTCCTTTTTAATAATAAAGGCATAAAAGGCTTTGCGTTTTGTAACGTTTCTAAACGTGATTCTTTCTTTTAAAAAAAATATTCACCGAAATAGCGTTTTGATCCAAAATGTAGTACTGTGAGTCAGTGACTGATTATAATGGTTTGCTTCTCCAAAGCTTAGCATGTTTGTGCTTGTACATAATTTCTTTTTTAAAATGATTTTTGTAGACTCCATGAAATGAGATTGGAAACCAGATGGAATCTTCTAATGATTAAAACAAAAAAAGCTAAATTAATGAACACATCACATGTCATTTGTCTAGGGACAAGATTTCAATGAGTCAGAGAGTGATTAACCGAGAAGAGGTTGCGTACCGGCCAAGATCAAATCACTTTGAATCGTCTTTGTTTAACAGATGATTAAAGCTAATTATTGTGTTTTTAATGATTTGGTCAAACTCTAAAACGTAGTAACAGTGTAAAAGAGGATGGAACTCATAATAAACTACCTCATCTACTCTGTTGCTTCCTCATATGAAGTTTGATTAAGGGAGCAGCAATCAAAGTGGTCTGTGACTGTGCTTCTCGTCCTAAATGGTAACTGAGTTCACAATTCTTCAAGGTTTGCTTATAGATAAGCCACTTTCTCACAGAGCAGTGAGATTTTGAAGGTTGCTGATAAGGGATAGTTCGTAGTCCTTGAGTTTCATAAACTTCAAAAATTATTTAGACAATCTGTACTATACTGAAATGTGAGATCCCAAGTGATTCATATTAAAAAAGAGGGAAATGGTGGATAGTTACAGAGTGATCTTAAGGTTCTTCCTTACACATTCATTGGTATGTCACTAAAACCGATTATAAACTACCTCTTCTCCTCCCACCCCTCGATATTGTTACTGTTATTATCCCACATCGCTTCTTCTTGTTCATCTGCAAGTTCAGAGAGTAAGGAAAACACAGTGAACACTCAGTGTGTATTAAGTACATAAAAAGCTCTCTGATACAAGAAACACACACTAATTGGAAACAAACTGAAGGGGAAAGAGTTTTCAGAGAAACACGACATGGCCAATCATCTCTCTCCTATTAGAACACTGCATTTTCGTAAACTAGTTCTGATTTGGTGATCCACAGAATCACAACTCTGTATGATTTAAATAATCAGTCACCTCGAAGCTATGCAAGATCAATGATAAAAAAACCACACAAAAAAACTGTTTATAATGATTCTGCGATTTCGCATTGTTACCAATCGGAACCAGAAGCAAGAATTTGGAACTGTAGAGCAAAAGATTGATACTTTCATTTGCAATAGTGCCTACTCTCAGAACTAAGACTTGAATCCGAGCAAAGACAGATTTTTGAATTACCAAACTACATATTGGGATGTTCACAAGATCTCCGAAGCATAATCGGATTATCCTAGACGCATTGATAAATCCCACAGTTCAGCAATACGGATCACCAATTAACCATCAATCGTTGACGGCATAAATCTATCTAAGCAAGAGTCGAGCGATCGAGAGAGAGAGAGAGAAGGAGCACAAGACCTTGTTGTTGTTGAGAAGGTGAAGTTGGAGATTGAAGAGAGCGTTCGTATTGTTGTTCAGCCTTTTCAAGGAAAGGCTTGTACCCAAGCTCGAGTGATATGTAACCAAAGGCCAACGATCCCAACACCACCACCGCTGATCGAATCGCGTTGTCCATCGCCGTCCCCTTCATTTTTCTTCCTCTCTCAAAAACCTCCGACTCAAGAGTTTCTCTATTTTTACTAAAAAAACAAAAATTGAATAAGACCCTCTGAGTCAGAAGGAGGTTCCGCTTCTCGGCGCTGTATCGGAAGCGGTGGATATTCTCGGCAAAATCAACGAGAATCTCTGATGTTGGCGAAGCATGGAGTCGTCATCTCTGGCTTAGGACGATTCACTTCTCACTCACCTTCTTCTTCAACTGTGCTCAGAAGGCAACAGTTCCTTGTACGAGCGCTTTGTGGCTCGAATTCGAAAATCCATCGCCCCAAGCTCATCAGAGCAATGAGTTCCACATCGGAGGCCGACGCTGAGAGTGTCCTTAGAACAGTGACGCCATCGCTCGACCCCAAACGACACAAAGGCCAAGCTGGTGAGAACGCCGTATCCCAATTGTGTGATCGGTGATAATGAATCGAATTCGAATTTCAAAGTTTCGATTTTTTTTAATGGTTTTTGATGTTGTAAATTGATTTGTGTCAGGGAAGATAGCTGTGATTGGAGGCTGTCGTGAATACACAGGAGCTCCATACTTCGCCGCCATTTCAGCTTTGAAAATCGTACAGTAGCTCCATTAGCCATCACAGCTTCTCTCTACTCATCTTTGATTTTTTAAGCTGAGAATGGTTTTTTCCTCCGTAAACACTGTAGGGTGCTGATTTGTCTCATGTCTTCTGCACGAAAGACGCAGCTCCTGTTATCAAGAGCTATAGTCCTGAGCTTATAGTCCACCCTGTTCTTGAGGAATCGTACAGCATCAGGTGAGAATACACGTTGAATCAAATCTGTTATCACAAGCCTAGTCTCATAATCTCTGTGGTATTGTAACGTGGACGAAGTCATTACAGTGAGGAAAGTCAAAGAGAAGTCCAGGAGAGAGTGCTTGGGGAAGTTGATAAGTGGATGGAAAGATTTGATTGCCTTGTTATTGGTCCTGGTTTGGGAAGAGATCCGTTTCTCCTGGTGCAGATTTCTCTCCGCCTTCTTTCGCCAATACTTTGGTTGTTGACTTAACTTGACGCCACTGTTGTTTCCAGGAATGTGTGAGCAAAATCATGAGTCTTGCCAAAAAGTCGAATGTTCCTTTCGTTGTAGATGGGGTAAGCAGTGATATATATAGCGTAAAGAGCAGATTCGATAAGCTTTCTTCTTTTTTTCCTGAATCTTTCTGTCTTTTGATATTCTGCAGGACGGGCTGTTTCTTGTGACAAATTCCATTGATCTTGTCAAGAGCTATCCGCTTGCTGTGTTAACCCCAAATGTGAACGAGTATAAGCGTCTGGTTCAGAAAGTGCTGAATTGTGAAGTAGATGAACAGAATGCTGAAGATCAGCTACGTTCTTTGGCCAAACAGTAAGTATACAGAACTCACGTTACATGTCTAGAGAGAAACGGTTTTGAATTTTAAAAGTAAAAGACTTTAATCTCATGATGGTAATTAATGTTAGACGTCTGTTTCATTCAGGATTGGTGGTGTGACGATTCTGAGGAAAGGGAAATCTGATCTTATAAGCAATGGGGAGACTGGTGAGTAACTTTTTTCTCTAATCTTATCTTGGTGACAAAACGTTGACAACAGTACCAGGTGTGATTATGTCTATCGTTTTGCAGTAAAATCAGTGAGCATTTATGGTTCGCCAAGGCGCTGCGGTGGACAAGGCGATATTCTCTCTGGGAGGTGAGTTCATCATTTAAAACTCTTTTAACTTTTGTAGCCACTAAAATAGTCTTCTTCTACATGTATTTGGTATCATCTAGTGTTGCAGTGTTTTTGTCATGGGCGCAACAGCTTAAATCAGGTCCTGAGAGGTTAGATACGTCCTTTGTTTGCTCTGCTCTAACGTTTTTTCTCCAATCATTTTTTTAGCTCAAACAATGATTCTGAAACCTGAATGATTTCAGTGGCTCTGAGAATCCAGCTATGTTGGGATGCATAGCTGCATCTGGCCTACTGAGAAAGGCTGCATCTCTGGCTTTTGCAAAACATAAGAGATCAACTCTCACAAGCGACATCATCGAATGTTTAGGGGAGAGGTATGGATTTCTTCTTTCTTACTGAAACCGATGCATCAGAGGAGGAGATTCAACAATTTTTTCGTTTTTTTCTACAGTTTGGAGGAGATCTGCCCTGCATCTTGATCTGCAGAACACATGAATGAGACTTGTCTTGCCTTGTACTACTACAACTTCAAAAGCTGTTGCTGTTTCTGTTCTCTTGTGTCCTTTTCCCTAAGTACTGTTCTTCTCAATAATATAACCTGAATGGTTGTGATTACCAAATAAAGATTCCTACTCAATACTCAGGACCCATTCTCTGCCAGTCTCAATATAACCATGTTTAAGAGTGCAGACAGATTGAGAATTGCGATATTTACTGGAGCGACAAGTAATGAACAAGAGATGCTAGATTTCTGAGACATAACTTATTATTAAGACAAAGACCCTTAAACACCAAAAGACAGACACGAGCTGTACAAAGAAGTGAGAGACACGAGAGAGAGATACGCCACTACACACATCATCATCACCAACCCATTGATAGCTTAAACAACTCATAGAGCAGCTTCTTGTTTTTCCTACATCATTATTATTTTTAGTGCTGTTCTGGTTCGAGATTTAAGAGAAGTGAGTGAATCTTGTTTCTTTCATCCTCAATCTGCAAGAACTGTTGCTCCTTCCACCTGTTCCCACCACCATTGTTTATGTTATGAGTCTTTCAAGATGCTGCTTAAAAAGAATACTAAATATGATCTGTTTTTGAAGAATCATTTACCTTGAAGGTGGCTCCCCAAATTTCTTCCTCTTTAGCAGGAACGGCAGTGATCTTGTTTTTCGGGTTCTCAAAGCTCTTAAGCCCACCTAACGCCGTCGAGTAGAAACAGCCTGCAACGCACGCAAAGATAACCATTCAAACCGCTATCAACCTAGCTTGTAATTTCCTAAAATTAATCTTGAACATAGGAGTGACACACAAAAGAAAACCAACCTTGAGGGAAAGAAGCTAGAGACTTTCCACAAGCACCTTTAAGCAACTCAACATCATCGGCAAATGCCACACACCCATCAGCTGTTATCCCCCAATACAATGGAACCTTCCCATCTTGGTCCTGCACCAAAATCAAACCGTTTTTTTTTTAACCGCCAAATTCAACTCTACCTTACAGTTTAAAATGGTTTTTTCAAGGGGGTTTAAAAGAACTTACCGAGGCTACAAACAGACTGGAGGTTGATTTATCGTAGACCACAAAGGCGAAATCGCCACTTAGGTGAGCCACAACGTGGTTGGCCGGGTAAGGAGCTCTGTCACGGAGAGTCTTGTAAGCCTCGATGACCAGAAGAACCTCGTTCGCATTCTTGGCAAGACCGTACTGCTGCTTCAAGCTTCCTAGGTTGTCAAGTGAGCCTTGGAACAAACAGAATATCTCATCCTTGGCCCCAAATGATCTGCATCAATTCAAATAAAAACATTGTAAAACTTTAAATCCATTTGAAGAAAAGTATTGCAAATGTTAAAGACTTTAATGAAAATAGTCAGACCGATGATGAGTCAGCATCGGATCTTTAAATAGGCATACAATTATGAAGGTATTGGTAATGATATGGGCTAAGAGCTAAAGATAGAAAGTGAAAGCATCATAATTCATATGGCTATATTTAATGGTTGTGGGGTTTAATTATAGCCTGATAGAGTTTGGTGGACCAACCAAAGCCTTTGGCCATAATATGTCATATCCAAACACACATATCAAGTCCCCTATAGTTGTAAATAAAACCGAGATTTGTGGATCAATTTTGAAATATAACTTTTTTACACTGTGGTGTCTGATTTGACATGATGGTAATTGTACTAAACCTTATGGGTATATCACTATATTGCCAAGGGAAAAAAAAAAGAAAGAAAAAATACATACATATAGACTTCTCTTGTCTATTAACATGGACCAAGTTTTGTTCAATTTTTTATCTTATAGTTGATGTGTAACAAGTAGTTTGTAACACGATCTATATCTTCTTCTTTTATAATCTTTTAAAATTTTGATTATTTTGTGCAGTCGGAGTCTCAGTGACATGAGCAATTCAGTGGATAAGTCATGAGAGACTTGTGAATCTTTGGTGACCAAAGACAACTTCTGATACGTGTCTTTGTGCCACCGTCACCGACAAAGTCAACTACTAAATTCTTATTTATTGGTACCTAAGAAATTATGGATCTTCAGTCTACCGATTTATCTGTGATTTCGTAAACTATCTGTCTATCTCTATTTATTTACAACATCATACTCAAACTTGGATCTGTAAAGATTTAAAGAAATCCTTTTTAACCATTGGAGCTAACTTCCAAATTTTAATTTCTTATATTAGTATATTATATCATCTATGTACCTTATATATGCATATTGCTAGTGAATTATTTGGACTATACTCTTTAATTATTGCGTAGGTTCCACAACACACATCACCCTATAAGTGGAGTGCTTAGAAGAATCCCACCATTATGTAAATCGGAATCTAATAGAAACAAATAAAAAAACCATCATCTACCAGACTAATTGTAATTCAAATGATTTTCACCAATTCCCTCTCTTCTCTGCAATCTTGGATAAGAAAAATCGGACGATTAGGGTCCATACATGCAATTGACCTATGTTGTTTTATTTAAATAGAAACTAATTTAATTCTCCTCGAAATCAAAAGGTTCGAGGATGGTCTTATCACCGTCCGATCGATACAATCGAACGATGGAAACATCGGGATCATCGCATGGCTGATTTTAAGAAGAAATGAAAGAAAAAAGAATTAGTAATAAATCGCCGGCGACTCACCTAGGCCGGAGAGGACTCTCCTTGTGGTGACTATAAGCAAGCTGAACATAGTCTCCGACTTGAACAGCAACGGCAGAGGGATTTCTCTCGACGAACCGGTTCACTAGAGCATCTCCGGTTGTCTTCGGCGACGGAGTTCGGCTTCCGGCAGCCACCAGCTCTTCCGGCGGTGATACTATCGCTCCACTGAATATACCCAACATTTTCTCTCTCCTCCAATGAAAATAATTATCCCCCAATCCCTCAAACCAAAAGAAAAACCTACTTCAGAAAATTAAATCTTTGAGCTCTCTCTCTTTAGTAAAGATAGAAATATCAGACACGAAAGATGAAACAGAGGAGAGAGAGAGATGGTGTTTAATATAGGAGGAGGATGACGAAGGATGTCGTGGGCGTTTTCGTCATTTCAAGTTTTCCTGAATCTTCTCTTGATTCTTCTTACGCTGAAATTAACGTCTCGACGTCAATACGTATGGCGATGATGCAGAAATACGGAGGCCCCACACGGAAGAGATGGAATCATTCTTGAGCGTTAGATTCTGGTTTTGCGGGACCCATGTTGCCATTTGTGGTCTCTTTGTCTTATCCAATACCCATCTTCCTCCTTTACAAATACTCCACATAGTAAAGAAAACAAATTTACCAACAAGTTACTCAGATTTTACTCCAGTTATATTGCCTTCTTTTGTTTTTCTCCCGTATTAAGATATTTCTAAATGATTGTAAAACTGCTGTTAATTGTTAAACTTAATTACGTACAAATTACTTTTTCCATCTTTAAGGCAAACAAAAGAGATAACACCCACTTTTCTTTATAATCACAATTCTTACAAGTTAGTACAACTTTTCCTACATCATTTTCTTACCTCTTTATGTAAAAAGACCAGCAAAATTTATGTGTTGTGTCTTGTATGTAACCGGTGAGTCAAATGATGTGTCACGATCTTTTTTTATTTTTCATCAATTATCCAGTCGTTCACGACATTTTTAATCTGAAACTGAAGTAGTAATAATTTAAAACCCTCATAGAGACCTTTATTTTTATTTTATTTTAAATGAAGAAAAAATAAGGATATTTTTTTTTTTTTTAAAAGGTATGTTAGAACTTAGAACAGTGGACGCTCGTTGTTTTTGTTTTTGGCCCACGGTATTTTGCATTTGTACAATTCCTCTTTTATTCGGTTTCATATCAACGTCCCATATGTGTGGTTTTGCGAGTTCCTCAAGATTATTAGAATGGGAATAATTATTACGCACTAAAATAATAGTAGATCAAAATAGTGGACGACTTCTACCATGTTAAAACTTGCCATAAATTACCACATGTATATGGAGGTTGTACTACGTTAAACTTAAACCTCAAGACTAACCCCTCCAGTCCCGCTACAGATTTATTCTTTTGCTAAATTCGTAAGAAACTATTGGACGATTCTTAAACAAATCCATTAAACAAGAACAATATATTATAGTGGTATATGTAGATTGATCCACAAAGTCCGCTGTGAAAGAATACACACGTCATGCCATATAAAATGTTTGTGGCTTTGTGGTTTGTTCACATCTCCACTTACTTTTTTTAGGCCGAATTACGTGACCTAAACAATAATTGAACTCCAATAGAGAATTTCAGTCTTCAATTGAACACAAAGATGGGTGAGTTGCTGAAGATTTTTGACCATTTAGTTTGTTTAGAAAATGACACAGCACACACAAAGTGAAAACCACAAAAAGGAAAGAAAAGGTTTGGTGACAACTACCGAGAAATGTATAAGACACGAATCAAACTATTTCGTGCCAAATTTTAGAGACCACAATGCGGACCAAATTAAGGTCGTTAAGACAATGAGTGAAGTTATTGTTTTGTTTTAACTGATGCTAAAAAAAAGTCATGATCATTTTATTTAATGATTTGAAACATCCACTTGGTTGTATCCTTTTATTATCTACTCACAAAATAATTCATAGAAAATGGAAAGAAAGACGAGCGATGGAATTGGCAACCATGAACCATGGGCCTGGGAGTGGGAACACAAAAGCTGAAAACGACTTTGATATTGTTTTGCTTTATTATCTTCACAAAAAGTTAATCAAAACAAGAGAATTATCTCATTCGATCATGACAGCAAGATTTTCCCATACCAATGTGGCAATATCCAACATAATAACTGTTACTATTAAGTTATATATGTGGTAACATTATTTGATCTATTGTCTATATTGGAAACCTCTGGATAATGTTTGTTGAAAATGGTTTGTCCATGTTAAACATTAGATGACCCCTAAAAATTCAAACGAACTACGGTGCATATGGAGATCTAAAGGCTTCAATAAAATTTATATTAACAATAACTATCGGACCATTGTTGATATATAGGCAAAATGGTCACCCATCTCAGTCATATTAGCTTTCTATCAGCTACTGTCGATCACCTATGCATCTCAGTTGTATATATCTGATATTTCAATTATTTTCTTTCTTTCTTTTTTTCGTTTCGGATCATATCCACGAATTTTTCAGTATTTTTTTCTTAGCACTTTGTATTTCTTTTTCTTTCTGGTCTGATAGTGACATAGTGTAGCCCACTATTCTCCGTTCCCATTTTCTTGTTTTGGTTTGCCGTTTTTCGGCAAATTAATTAGAAAACTTTGTTAATTCATCATCATTCGATAATATTTAACATTCTGAAAAGTTACAAAATTATCTACGTTATCTTTACTTGTACGAATATTATCAAATAAGTGAAAAGTATAAAACCAACCAAATATTTATGATGAGTGAGAGTGACCTTGACAAAAAACATTTATTATTTGACATAGCACCATTGAAATGTGAATGAAGCCCATCAGAGGAAGTACCTAAATAAAAAGTCCAGTGTAAAGCCTTCTAACTGTAGCCCACCCATCTAAACCAGGCCGACCCGACCCGACCTGACTTGATTCGCCGTCTACCATCTCAATCCAACACGCGATACTCGGTTATCCCCGTCCTTTCTCTTTCAGGCAGCCGGTAAAGCTCCCGGAGATCACTCAAAGTTCGAAGGTTGACTCAAATCTCCCGAAGCTGATCGGAGATCTGTGAATCATGTCGGCGGAGAAACGTGATAAGGAGGAAGAGGTGAAGACCGACGATGGATCTCCTAAAATTAAACCGAGACCGATCGTTCAGCTGGGAATCTTCCTCATCTCTCACAGTCCCGTCTTCAGGTGAATTTTCTCACAATCATTTCCTTCGTTATATATGTTTTGACTCTTTTCACTATTGGTTCATTGATGCTCTCTGATCGTCGTTGTTCTAGTGTGGTTTTCTCTGCCGCTGGTGTTTTGGCGCTGCTGCTTCTACCGCTACTTGCAAAGAACACTTACATCTCAGAGAATGCTCTAATGCCAGGTTTCTGCATTCCCTAAAAACGCAATAATTTCCACATTTGGATTCAATTCTTGTCTTCAATTTACATAAATAAAATAGTGTTTCCCGTTTCCATGTTTGGTTATCTCATAATCTCATGCTTTGTGTTCCTTATAAGTGTTGATGATAGAAAATGAATGGCATTCAAATGATATTATGGCTGATTCTTCACGCTCGGGATATCTACTAGTGTAGCCTAGTTGACATTTGGGGTGTTAACCAAATTAGTGTTCTATATGATTGGAATCTATATGAGTATTCAACACTATTGAATCATTTGAGTTTATAGCTTGAAAACTTCGAGTGTGGTTTTCATTTCTTTTTTTACTCTAATCTTCAGGCTCTGCACGGTCTATGCTCTCTCATCGTGATGTTTCCGATGGAAGCAAACTGGTGAAGGACATAAAGAACTTTAGGTCGAATCATGAAGGCCAGGGTGTGTATGTCTTTTCTCCATTGTTATTCTTTCCACAGCTTTTCATATGAAACAGAGCTTTCTCCTCCGTTATGAGGAAAAGCAACCGAAAATGTAACTTGTTCTTCTGTTTACGTCTTTCTTCAAGATATCAAGTCCCAACTGTGCATTAGTCTACGTTTCATATTTTGTTTCCAGATGTACAAGTTGCATCCTTCCTTGACTTAATGATTCTCCATTTGTGTGACTTTTTTTCTAGTGAAGTCCAGAGGCTCATTGGGAAATACATGTCAGAAATGGGTGCAGAAGTCTATTATCAAAAGTTTCATCCTGAAGGGAATCAGTTTCACCCTTTACACTTCTTCTCCGGTCCTGATTCATATACACTGCTGGGGAATGTCAGCTGTGCTTCTTATGGGGTCAATGTTGCTGGGATTATAAGAGCCCCTCGTGGTGACGGAAAAGAGTCTATTGTGCTGGTTACTCCCTATGATTCTATAAACGGTGGAGAGTATGAGGCTTTGTCTTTAGGCATTGCCAGTTCTCTATTTTCTTTACTCGCTAGAGTTACCTGGCTTTCCAAGGACATAATATGGCTTGTTGCTGATTCTCGTTATGGAGACTATAGACCTGTTGCTGCATGGTTAAGTGAATACCACACGCCTTCGTTTATGGTCTCCGATTCACTGAAGTGTGACGAGCTAAATACAGCCGGCAGCTTCAAACGGGCTGGAACAGTGGCTGCTGCATTGGTTTTGAAGGTTGATGGTAGAAGTGAAAGGTTCGAGGACACACTAAGTATCTATGCAGAGGCATCTAACGGGCAGATGCCAAATCTCGACCTCTTCAATGTTGTAAATTACTTGGCGGTGCATAGGCAGGGCTTTTATGTTAGAGTGGAGAAGGTTGTATCTTTACTTTCCTCTAGTTGGCTAAAGACTGTTGGGGAAATATTTGAAGCTGTTGGAAAAGTGGCTCATACGTTAAATCCCGACTGGAATTTCGGTATCCCAGCCGCAGACTATCTTGAAGGCAGTGCTACCCTTGCAAGTTCACTCTATTCCCAGGTAATTTAATCTGTCGTTGATGAAATTATTCTGGTTGCAGTCACAACTGATACATTGTAACGAGGAATCTTGTAGTTTGACAGAGAAAGTTCCGTTGTGTTTTTATTGATTCTTATCAGGCCCTTGGTATCCCAACTGGTCCTCATGGAGCTTTCCGCGATTATCAAGTGGATGCAATTACTTTGAAAGTTTCACCCAGATTTCCTGCTGACAGTAAGGCAAGACAACACGATTTCTTTCAACGAGGTGCCCAGTGAGTTTTCCTTCTTTCCCATTTCATACCGTAATAAATGTGCTAGTTTATGTGAATTTTATAATGCTAAAGATTAAAGAACTACAATAAATCAGTTATGCTGCAGTAGAAATTAAGAACTGTAATCTTACCTACTTCTAAACTCTGCATGAGTGTTTGATGATAACTGTGTTCTTGCTCTTTCAATGCAGGTTACTTGAAGGAACAATAAGATCAGTGAACAACCTTCTTGAGAAGTTCCATCAATCGTTTTTCCTCTACCTGTTAACTTCCCCAAGCAAGTTTGTCTCCGTAGGAGTCTACATGATCGCCTTTGCTCTTCTTGTAGCCCCTCTTCCAATGGTCGCAGCCTCTTTATACATTGATGGCTGTAACGCTCTTACCAAAGCCACTCATAACCCGGCCAAAAACCTCAAGTCATGGAAATGGCTAGACGCAGCCAAGCAGGTCTTTGCTTTGCACTTGCTGGGTTTCATCGTCACACTGCTTCCTTATTTCATCTGTCAAGTACCTGGCCAGCATTCTCCAACAAACCGCTCCATCATGTGGGCTGCTACATCTTCTTCGCTTCTCCTTCTAACGTTTGTCACAATCCCGAGTTGCTCGCCGTTCTCCTCTCGGCTCCATGGAACCAACTGGGCTGTCTTGAAATCAGTGACCATCTCAGCTGCCTTCATCGGTCTATGCCTCATGTCCATTATCAATTTCGCCACCGCAATGATTGGAGCGTTGCTACTTGTGCCAATGTGTCTAATGGTTCGCCCTATAAAACTCGATTTGAGATCCAAACGCGTTAAGAGCCTGGTGGGCGCGTTTTGCAGTACGGTGCTGGTGACTATCGGGTTCCCGGTCATTGTTTTCGCAATCTCTAAGGGTTTGATCAGAGAAGGAGGGCTCGTGGGGTTGAGCCTTGGAGGAGAGTTTTGGACATGGTTAGAATCGTTGTGGGCGTGGAAGAGTGCGACATATCTATACATAGGTATGGTTCATCTTCCTTGCTGGCTCCTTTGCCTCTGCATCTTGTTTCATCCTTCTTAATTCTTATTTTACGTTCACATCTCAAATTCTATGTTGTCTACACACTGTAAGAATTTGTTGTGTTTTATATTTGTCGCATGCTAATCACAATTAAGATATGTATCTTTAGAAAACTGAGGTCATGAATGAATGTAGTTTTAAGCATTGGTTTCTTACTGTTTTTAGAAATCATAAGCGTACTGCATCCAACAATCATGTTTTGTAAAAAAATTGTTTTGTTAAAAGAAAGAGGAAATGCTAGTTTTGAAACTACAGGAGAAGTCATATACTCTATGCTTTGGAACTATTAGTGAAATGCAATAATGCATTATGCATAGATACTTATAGAAAGTATTTTTGTTAAAAACGGTATTCATTGATGTCATTAGTCATCATCACACATACAAAGAGAGAGCAAAACTGAGAATATCTACACCGAGTTGTTAATTATATCACTTTTGACTACAAAGCTTCTGGTTGCAAGGAATCTAAATCAGAGCGTGTTACTTGCCCAAACCCCATCATCGAGTTACCCAAATCAAAATCCAATACAAAGCCTTCTAACTGTAGCCCACCCATTATAATCGGGTTGACCCGACTCGATCCGCCGTCTACAATCCCCAAGCATCGTACTCCACCGCCAACATCCACCATTAGATTCCTCCCGTGAATCCTCCACCTCACCATCTCGCTCTGCAACGCCAGATCCACCGCCGGAAACTCTACATCACACGAAGACGTGCTCGTGAAGCAGAGCCCGAAAGGTGCTACGGGAGCCACTGATGTAGCGTTAGTCGCAGCTTTGGTGTAAGCTTCAGCAAACACCGCGTAGATTGAGCTATCTAGCATCGTGTAAGGGACCACCGTGCTTAGTTCCGCCGCCAACGGACCGTCTACGGAGAGCTTTTTCCCGTTGACTCTGATTGATTTCACGTTGATTACGTAATTGCCACTCGAGCCCGTCGACAGAGGCGTGTAGACCAACGATCTAGACGCGGACACTCCGAAAACCTCCTCCACCGAGCTAGTCGACACGACGCCGTTCGTCGGCGACAGGTAAACCGTTAAACGACGGCGATCGTTGGTTTCCGCGGCGAGTTGTGAGGGGAGAGAGATCTGGGCCCTTCCTAGGCCCATTACTCCTTGGGCCCCGCTTGCGAGACCTCGTAACAGCCACGGAGGAGCACACGCGAAGAGCAGATCAACGGTTTCCTGAGAAGAAACAGATCCAAATGACAAGACGTCTCTTGCGAGCTCTCCCCTCGCCGTAATCCCAACGGCGCCGTTTCTCACTAGCAAATCGCAATCCGCTTTGAGGTCTCCACGCGACGATACTCGGTCATTTCCAACCTTCGCCTTCAAGCAGCCGCTAGAACTCCCGGAGATCAGACTCCGTGAAGAGGAAGCATGTCCCGAGGAACAATCGAACCAAAGAAGCGGACCAGCGAGATCCACGACGAGCTTGACTGGCTCCGAGGAGTCTCCGAGGCGAATCTGAGCGACGTATTGACCGGTTGGTAGGTCTCGAGTAACGGGGAAAACGACTCCGTTAACCGAAGCAGAGATCTGAGATTTGGAAATGAACAGAGAGGAGAGTAAGGAGAAGACGAAGACGAAGAGATTCAGAGAACAAGAAGAAGAAGCCATTAGAAGTGTGAAGAGTAGGGGAAGAAATGGATCTGGACGGTTTAAAAGGATTAGGTTCTGGTTTGGATAGTTGAGAGATGCGGTGGGTCGACGCTGGTTTAGTGAACGTGAATCGATAAGGATTGGTTAGATTTAAGGTAAGTGCTGAGTAGACTTCGTGTCGTTTCACGAATTGTGGGGACTTTTTCTTTTGGTCAATGTTTATCCATTTCTTTAAAAGGAAAAAGAGAAAAAGCAGAAGATCAGGCAATTTTGGCACGTGCGAGTGGAGTTTTTAATTCGTTTTTCGTTGGGGGAATTTGGGAATATCCGTAATCGTGTATAGTTGGAGTCGTTGGTTCTTTTTTTTTCCCATATGCACAAGAACGGTAGACATTAAAAGTGAGATTGGGCTCATTTCAATAGCGATATGGCCCAATAGTTTGCAGTATAGTGTCAAGGCCTGTTAGTGACGTGCAATCGAAATTTCAGAAGGAAAACAAAAAAAAACATAATGGTCCCTAGATTCGGATTCATTTGCTCCTCAGACTATATCCAATACCCAATTTAGTGATTCGAACTTGGAATCTTGTGTCAAACAAGATTTTCCATGAGACTAGAGGCAGAGACGACCTAAATTCTAATACAGATAGGATATGGCTAGTGATTTGAAGCGCATTGATATGAATTTTCAAAGTTTAGAGTATGATGGAAGTATGGATTATGGAATTCGTTTTATATATCCATTTCTGGATCCAAAAAGATATATGATCAGGTATCGTATAAAAATGTCAGCAAACTAGTTTGAAAGAAAAAGAAGTATAACGTAGAGCCCACCTAACAGCGTGAATATGCAGCGCTCAAAACTGCATCCATTAATGCTAGAGATACACCGACTGATCTTCTCCATCTTTTTAAGATTATACAATTAATTGCTGTCACGTGGTTTACACTCCTACTATGCATATAATAAAATAACACAGTAGTCTCTTTTTGAAAAAGGGCGCGTAATTCATCTCTAGGATATATATATCGAATATCCAGCGCGAATCTCAACCATTAAGTGAACCTGCCGACCAAGAAAAAAAAACTAAGCATTAGTTAAATAAAAAATATTGCCTTTTAAAAATAAAAATAAAAAGTACTCAACAGATTTTCTTAGATCCAAAACGTGTATTTTTGTGACATCGAGCCATTAATAAATACGAGACATCAATAGAGTCCATCTACTTCATCACAAACAAACAAACAAACAATCGCATACTTCATTTCATTTACACACGAGAAAACAAAGATGGGTGGCCTTACGCACCTCATCGTCTTCGTCTCCATCTTAGCCGCAATAACTCTCAAGTCAGAAGCCCAATACCTTCTTCCGATCACCAAACACGAGCCCACCAAACAATTCTACACCACTATCAACATCGGCTCCTCCGCTAAATCTCCCTTAAACCTCCTCCTCGATCTCGGAACCAACCTCACGTGGCTCAACTGCCGCCAAATCAAATCTCTATCATCTCTCCGCCTCGTCACCTGCCAGAGCTCCACCTGCAAATCCATCCCCGGCAATGGCTGCGACGGAAAAACCTGTCTTTACCGACAACCAAACCCTCTCGGAAAATCCCCCGTCGTGACCGGCCGTGTCGTCCAAGACAGTGCCTCCATCTCCACCACCGACGGCGGTAAATTCCTCTCCAAAGTCTCCGTCCGTCCCTTCACATTCTCCTGCGCCGAAGAGAAACACTTCCAAGGCCTTTCTCCTCCGGTCGCCGGAGTTATGGCTCTTTCTCCGGGAAAGTTCCCGTTCTGGAGACAGGTAACGACAGCTTTTAACGTCATCCCGAAATTCTCTCTCTGCTTGCCATCTTCCGGCACCGGTCACTTCTACATCGCCGGCGTTCACTATCTTATCCCGCCGTTCAATGGACCCAGTGGTCGTCCGATTCCGATGACTTTGACGCCGTTAAAAAACATAGAGTCGGGAAATTATATAATCTCCGTCACGTCAATCTACGTTGCCGGAATCCCTTTATCGTTGAAGCCAAATCTGCTTGACGGCGGAGCCAAGCTGAGCACGGTGGTCCCCTACACCGTACTACACACCGATATATACAATGCTCTTGCTCAATCTTTTACGCTTAAGGCAAAGGTATTAACAACAAAACTCTATTTTATATTTCTTGCACACAAATAAAAATGTTTTTATTGAATTTATTATATACTACTATTTGACGTATTTTGTTTTGATTATTTTTTCTGTTTGTTCATGATAATAGTTTGTTTACTTTACAATAAGATAAATGTTTTTTTTTTTCTCGAAAAACAAATAGATGTTTGAGAATATGTTTTTTATAAATGTTTTGCATCGAATGCAGGCTATGGGACTATATGAGGCCGGAAGCTCAGGTCAGTTCAAAGACTGTTTCGACCTAGGCGGCACCGACAGGGCAGGGGCGGGGCTGAAGGTTCCGGCGATAGAGTTGGGGCTTCCAGGGAGAGCAGGAGAGGTGAAATGGAAGTTTCACGGGAAGAATACGGTTGTTTATGTGATGGAGACGGTAGTGTGTTTGGCGTTCGTAGACGGAGGAAAGACACCAAATGACTTGATGGTGATAGGAACACATCAGCTCCAAGATTACATGGTGGAGTTTGATTTAAGCACAACGCTTTTAGCCTTTAGTGACTCACTTTTGCTCCACAACACTAGCTGCTCCTCTTGGCCTTCCCAGAAGTAGAATCACAACCAAGAGATGTTCATCTTTCTGAATTTTCTTTTTTGAAGTACTACCATTTGGTTTTGACGTGTTTCTGTTTTTTTTCTGCCTTGCTTTAATCCTAATAAATTTGAATGATAATTAGAGGGGAGATTTTAGGTGACCTAGCTATATCTCTGGTCCGGATATTTATCAAAACTGTTAATATCATTGACTAGGTTAAAAACTACTGTAAAACTTATTTTGAAATCATATTAAGCAAAAGCAACCATTATAAACCGAGAAGGCGTGACGTATTATAAGGTAAACCTAAATCTTGCTTGTAAACAAATTACCGAAACGGATTCTTCTGGTCTTCTTCTAACTTTTTGACTCCCAAGATAGATAGCTGAGGATCGGTCATCGTAAACAGAGTTGAAATTAGATAAAAGTAAGCACCCGGATGAATTAACCAAATTACCAACCAATTAAACGATGTCCTCTAGAATCTAGATGACTATGGGCTTATTTTATTTGGACAAGTAAAATAACATAAAATAAAAGTATGCACCGGATAAATTACGAAATATTTTAGTTATTCCACGTTTTACACGAGAATGCCGACAGTATGGATTTGTGAATTTATCATTTGTAGTACTTCCAAGATATATAGGAAAATACAACAGCATGTGGTTCAGATATCATCAAATACATAAACACATGCTCTCTCTTTTTAGCAACACATGCTCTTCTGCATTCTCATTACTATTCTAGCTAGTGTCTCGAACGAAATATAATCTCATAGGCGTTTCCACACTTTTTAATAGCATTTCTGTGTACTATAAATTTATAACATTGTTATACTCCATCGTTTGTTATTAGATCACCATATCAAAATTCGTTAAATAACCAAAGAAACTGGTCTCACATAGTATTGCTCGCAACTTAGCACAAGGTAACGTTCTCCAAAAAAGGGGAAGAGTTTACAAATTTCCAAATATGCACTCTTACCATTTCGACACAGTATTACAATATAACATGCATAAATCATTAGTAAGAAAATCCAAAAAAAATAATCCCCATGCCGCGGAATGGGTAGGGTAATTTCTAGTATATATTTGAGAGCTGAATCACCTGGTAAGATGCTTCTGGCTGGCATCCATATGTACTATACGCAAAAAATATCACATATTTTAAATTCTAAACATTGCTTAGTAAAGAAATATCGAAGAGGAAGTAGAGGAACCATAACCAATGGAAAAAGATTGATGCATAAGCATAGCCAATGGAAAAAGATTGATGCACCAGCCGGGAATCGAACCCGGGTCTGTACCGTGGCAGGGTACTATTCTACCACTAGACCACTGGTGCTTCTTGTTTCCCTTCTTTCTGTATACGTAATTGCCGTTCCCGTGGCAGGTGTCGTTCACTTTTACATTGGAAAGCTGGGCCATTTTAAATGTTAAAAAATCAAAATCAGTCCAACGGTCCAACCCCAATAATGATACCAAAAAGCCCATGTAATAATACCATTTCATCTGATAATCACACCAACTCTTTTGATTTTATGCCTTGTTGTATCGCATAAATTTTTGGCCCAATTGGTTTTGTAACAGACAAAAATCTTGGCGACTAATCAACACAAGCTGAAGCTGCTGTTATATATTTTTACACAGTGACATAGTGACATAGATGTCTCACATAGGCGTTTTAAGGACGGAGCAAAATGTATTTGAAATAGCCAGTCAAATTCCTATCATGATAATAGGTAAATCAACTTGTCCATCAACTATTTGTAATAGACTAATAGAGGGAAGAATCCAATAATCATTGTACGATGAAATTGATTGCATCTTAGAAAATATATATTAATCGTAGCTACATGAAAAAGACATAGTTTAGTAACTTTGTACTAAAAAGGTTAAACAAAATTTAAATTGATTTCTTAGTCTACCAATTTGCATAAGTTGGATAATAATATTAATTTGTCACACATGAGTCACGATGACACATACACACGATATTATCTTCCAAAAGATTAGTTTGCATTTGAGAACAAAAACTCAATAACCTAACATTCCAATTGGAGAACTGTGTACATAACTAAAAACACGTATCGATAAAAGCTTTCCCCAAACAAATTTTAAAAACGACCCATTTGATGAGGTTGTGCAATCACTCACATGTTCCACTTGCTGTTCCTGTCTCGTTGTGTGTCAATGATATTATGGTGGTGGTGTCCTTTTCATGCAAAGTCATCGAGGGATTTTGTGCAATTACAGTCCTCAGATTCTCTGTGATCTCTCTTTTTAAGTTAAACATTTCGTACCAATCACTTTTTCTAACTCCTATTTACACTACACTGCTTTCACATGCCCAAACATTTGTACCCACTAATTATTTCTCTTCTTCTCTTCCTTTTATTTTCTGTCCGCTAATTTATTAATTTCTTCTGATTAATTGATTGCTTTGGTTCGTAACGTACTTTTCCCTTTAATTACACGGGAAAGATAAATTTAAATCAAGAATTAGTAATTCATAAAAACTTAAAAAGAGTGAGAGGGAGGGAGTAATAATGAAGCGTGGGGTGTAGTGAGGTATGGAGAGAGCGGGGTCCACCAGCTTCAAAATCCACCGTACATGAGAAAGATTCCCATATTAGATACGTGGGTCCCATGAACTTTCCCGTAACCGACAATCCTCACCGTTAATTATTTTTTGCCATATCGAGTTTTCTTTTTATTTTAATTTAAACAAATATGCATTGCAGCGAATTATTAGTTATTACTGTCGGATCGGCTCGGCTCATTCATCTGGTCGGATCGGCTCGGCTCATCAAGCGCTCGGAATTTCCGGTAAATAATATTTTTATACTTGAACCTATAGGTTTCTTTCTCTTACGTTTGTAGCCTTTAACTGACCTTTTTGACCGCAGATAGGAAGATTTTGCATTCGTTCTTTTGACAGACGTAACAAACAAATCAAGAATCTGTTGATTTATTGTTCAAATATCTAACCTGTAGTATACTATACTGTTACAAAACTTTTGTCACGTTTGATTGGTAATTTTATGCGGTATATTTTACCAACAACAAAAAATTGCGCGGTGTAAAATCTGTCGATAGAAAACGATTGATAAATCAAACGCAATATTATAGAAATCATATATTTTTGTTAATCGTGGAGTATTAGAAGGTCGATTACAGTACACTTTCAAACGGATAGAACATAACGTTGATAGCAACAATGTGATCGTGTAAATGTAATTCATTTTGTCATGTCAAACAGAATTTTTGACATGACCAAAACAAGTGCATCTTTTTGTACATATGCGTTTTAATATTTGATCTACGAAATCTAATACGTTATACAAAACAACCAAGCATTGAGCGCATTTGCTTCCGGAACCATAACATGTCGTATTTCAAGTGTCTCAAAAACCTATAGTTTACCAACATTACATGTTACAATTATGTTCATCGTGATATTCATGTATCATTATTTGGTTGGTAACAAATAAAAAAATCCCTTCAAAGCGTAAAATGTTAAAATTTAAAATTTAAGATGACATTTGTAGTTGTTTTACTTTCCTAAATAGATATTAATTGTTTATGGATCGACACTGGACCACTGCTCAAAGATTGTGAATAGTATTAAATTTAAGTTTTTGCCAAGGGCAAAGCGAATGTGTAGCAATATATACCTTCGGAGTCAGCGAAGAATTATTCGCTGTTGAACTAAAAAGTAATCGGCAAATCTTTCAAATTCAAGGGAATAATGTTATTAATCAAATAGTAGTATATTGTTGGGTTCAAACTTGGGAAATGGCAAACAAAACATAAGAAAACAATTTGCAGCGAGCCATATTTCAAGGGTTTTGTCGGTCATCTTTTATGCCAATCCGTCTCTTTTATAGGGCTAAGTAACAACTACTATTAAGTACTCAACTATCCCAATATAGTAATGTTATTGCGTGGTAATTAAATATTTGGGCAGAAATATTTATACACTATCAAATCCATTAAACCACTAAATTTCGTTGACGCTGAAAAGGACTCGAAACATCAGGAGGAATAAAAAAACCTCAGCAAATGAAATATGCAACGTTCTTCTCTTTGTTGAGGTGGATTCGACTAATTTAAATATCTTCTAGGACTAGCTTACTAGTTTAGTATTTGTTTACTATATCTCAAGCCGAAGTCCTGATTAATACAGTTTGACATGTAAGCCGAAGTATGCTAAATAAAACACAAACCAATTTTGACAAAAGAAAATAACACTACTAACACAATTTTGAACCCTAATAAAATCGGATTAAAACAAAGCTAGTACAATCCAACTAAAGTGAATAAATTAAGTCATTTTCTAACAATATTAAAACCCGCATGTTTTTATTTATTTTGAATTGTGGTCATTTTCGTCACAAAAAAAACAACCAGCAAAATAAAACTGATTTGTCGGGACGGATAGGAAATACTTGTCTGCAATTCAGCAAAATACTCTCCAAACTGGATAATTGCAAATACTGAAATGGTTTAACGTGAAGAATAAAATTCCGGATTAAATGTCTACTTATAGGCTAGCCATGAAAATTTCACGCTGAAATACACAAACGACCTCGGAAAATAAACAATCACAATTATGTCCAAACACATGACATTAAATTCCGTAATTTTGTTTAGCTTTTGCCGGCCAGTCGATGGGAAGAGGAAAACTGTTAGCCGTTGAGGATAACCGGAAGCAGCCGGTAAATGGACATTGCCATGTGAACATCACTGACACTAGACCGTATTGGGTCATGAGCCAACATTACTTCGAACTCCTCACTTTGACTCTTACAAGTCTTACTCTTCTTTTAACTCACTTTATCATCTAATGAATTCTAATTAAACACCTTCATTAGTTTCTTCTTCTTTTAAAAAACTCATTTTCCCTACACCCTAGTCTAACCGATACTTTAAGTTACTAATCTGATTAGATTACAGTTTATATACTTATAATCTCTGTCATACGTTTTTAATATTCTTGCAATTGAATTACAA